AAGAATCTGGGAGTCTGGGTGAAACTGGTGAATTTCTACCGTTCAAAATTTCACACGATCCAACTCTGTCGGATTCAATTGACTTCTGACGTATGGAATGTGGTGTTATTTGATAAAGCTGTAGTACTGCATTGGGTTGATTCGCTGTCCACACTATATGCACATTGCAAGTCGAACGGAGTGAACAAACTGTAAAACATCCATCAGAAGTGAATTGGATCGTGTGACCAGACCTTAATGTAATCAACATCTTATCCTCAAAATGCATTTGCGCCCATAATATGGACCTTTCAGATTCAATATCTCCTTTTATTCTTGTTAATTTATAACCATATAAACATGAAAAACCAATAACAACCGAAAATTCCAAAATTAGTTTCTGTGATGCTTTATCTTATTGGTAATTTTAAAAGGGTATATCGCCAGAACTTACAAAATCAAACTGAACAAAAAAAAACAAGCTATTTCATCACAATGAAACAAAATTGTTATCATCGTTACAACTTGGCATCCCAGGGAAAAGATTTATATGATCAGCGTTCATTCTTGAAAACAATGTACTCAAATTGAAACTTTGTTGAGAAAATCCTTTGGGTACGTTTTTAGCATAGAATGTGGTGCTTTTGGTGAAGGTATTCGATGGTGAATGACAACACGCCGCTGTCCACAAGTACGATGGCACATTAACCCTATACTCCCTATACCAGTTTCCTCCTGGTGCATTTGAATGTCCACTAAAATCACTGAACCCTAATTCACCAAAGAATCTTTTCTCGTGTTGCGGATATGTTGATGGTATACAGCCGACAATGATGTGCAAAGGAAAACCTCCACAGTTGTTTCTTGCCCATTCAATGAGCATTGATTCGTGTTTCTGCCATGATCCCGAATTTAAAAAGCCAAATTGTGGAACTACGTTTGTATATACGAACGTTTGCCGACTCAAACCAGGTGTACCACGACCATAATTGGCAGCAATCAAGTGACCTCTGTGAACATAAGTGTGATCTTCTATATATCCATTGTTTGGACATTCAGTAAATAACGGCGGAAATACCATATTTTTTTCATAGTACCAATTACTTTCAATGTAATAGTCTTTTTTAGTTTGTGATTCGTAGCATAGCTTGCGGTTTAATGCGTCTTTATAATCATAGTCATTTTGTTGAAAAAATGGGTCTGCCATTTCGGAGCTTTGCCTAAAATTACCGTGAGGTCGTTGGTATGCATGATCATTATACTGATCAGCAGTCATAACAATTGTAGCGGCAAGTGGGATGCGATTTTCACAATCGTATATAATACCAAAGTTTCCAGGCTCACAAATTTCAGTAGTTTGTGGTGTACCTAAAGGTTTACGACGGGCTAAAGATGTAACGTCCGGGATGTAATATTCTCCCAGAACTTCTGCTGATTTAGAAAAGGGATTGAATCTTTTATTACTGACGTCATATTTACAGGCACCAATAAAATTACAAGCACAGTTCATCAAACCATTTCCTGCGCATTTAGCTTCGATCTTCGAGAAATGCACCAAATATAGATTCACCAACAAAAGCAAGCAACTTTGTATTCCAGTCGTCATTGTCGAAATCGTTGTGATCTATATAAAACAAATTAATAAATACGTCTTGATCACTGAGAGAAATATGCCCTATTTCACTGTACTGTAGATTTGCAACGGAATGAAAACTTTAGCTTTAGCTATATATATATATATATATATAGAACTATCCATGCATTCAAGTACTTGGCGAGTGGGCTAAATGGGAAAGCAGCTATCCTCAGAAAAATCACAGGGAAAACAAGTTTTCACCCTAAGTCATGAGAAGGGGAGGGAAATTGAAAAAACCGCGGTAAAAACAATCGTGTTTGCGAGCAACAGTTGACTGGGAAAATTAGTCACAGGCCAAAGTGACGTTTTTAACAAAAATGAAAGTTTAGCGATTAGACCTATAATTATATGATGACGGATATAATGTCTGAGATGTAATCAGTAATATGTAATGAATAAATGCCTGCTCGCATTAAAACTGATATCACAACCTAACGTAGGTTAAGAGTAATTCTTCACATCACTGCACTCCGTGATATAAAGTACGTGTCCTAGCGTATTCCGAATGTTTTCTCTCCATGCAAATAGAAATGCTGAGTGCATGCATGTGGAATGGGTGTGGTTTATCACGAGTATTAGCCCGTCATGCAAGGTTTGCACATATCAAGTTAAAAAACAATTATCAACATTTTCTTTAACATATATATGCTTCCCGGAATCCCAAATAATATATACTTCCTTTTTCAGTCCTGATCTAGTTACTGCTTGTAGGATTAAATCAATTAATGGTATTAAATTGACTTTGAGAGTACCCACAACCTACCGTAAGTTAAGAGTAACTCTTCACTTCACTGCACTCCGTGATATAAAGTACGTGTTTTGGCGTATTCCGAATGTTTTCTCTCCATGCAAATAAAAATGCTGGGTGCATGCATGTGGAGTGGGCGTGGTTTATCACGAATATTAGCCTGTCATGCAATGTTTGCAAATATCAAGTTGAAAAACAATTATATCAGCATTTACATATTCTTCCCGGAATCCCAAATCATATATACTTCCTTTTTCAGTCCTGATTAGTTCCTGCTTTTACGATTAAATCAAATAATGGTATTAAAATGACTTTGAGAGTACCCTATAATGCATTAAAACATGGTTATATGGGCTACAATATTGCACATACTGAGTGCAGCGACTTATATATTGAACTCACATGTATCGGCTCAAAATTTTAACACAAAACTGCATGATATCCATAAAAAGGTGTGCTTCATCACGAGTTTTTTAGCCGGTCAAAGGTAAAAGAAAAACAATAATAAGCAATAAAAAAATTTTACCTTCCTAATCTTATCTAGTTCCTGCATACTTCTACGATTAAACCACTGGTATTAATATGACTTAGAAACAGAAAGCACCATAAATGCATATAATACTCGTGTGTATATATAATCACTACAAGTGAACATGAGATGAATGAATCAAAACTGTCCTCATGTGTGCATGACAGTAAAAAGCAGAAATTACCAATGGTTTTGATGTTAACAAAGATATTCCTCCCACTATATATACGCTAACTTTTATTATATATTATCTGACAGACGATGTTGTGGTAGGAATATGTTTAATATCAGTCAGTTCATGATGCATGGTGATGCGTACCACCGTACCGTCTATATATATACACATTCCTAAGACAATCATATGCACGACTTTAGCTCCTATTTATACATACGGCCTATTGGGAAATAGTCTTTAAAACATAACTTTATCACGCATTTAACACATGGTCAATGGTGCCCCGTGCACTGAGTGAAAGACAATATGTCATTATCCTTCTCGTTTTATGTATAGTCTCAGCGACTTGTATATTGAACCTATACATGTATACTTTAATATAAGTCAGTCTAAATATTTAACGACAAAACTGATATCCACAACCTACCGTAAGTTAAGAATTCCTCTTTACATCACTGCACACGCGGTGTTATAAAACTCGTCTTGGTGTATTCAGAATATCATATTTTGTACGAGGTTGATTTTGTCTTCATGCAAAAAAAAATGCTGAGTGTGGAAAAGCATTTTCTTTAACACCTCATGCAGTGCTTCCCGGAATCCCAAATCAGACTTCCTCTTTCAGTCCTGATCTTATCTAGTTCCTGCTTCTACGATTGTAAGTCACTGGCATTGAAAGCACCATAAATGCATATAATACTCATGTATATAATCACTACAAGTGAAAATGAGATGAATGAATCAAAAATAGCCTTAATCGTGACAGTAACAAGTAGAAATTATTAACGATATTGTGGTAGTAATATATGCATGTTTGATATATTGCATGCTGTGACGATTCGTGCATTAAAACAGGAACTAGAAAGTAATCTGCATGTGATCCCATGCTGTATTGTAATTTGACACTGGAATTTGGTGGCGTATTAGTCGGAACAAATAGTCATTTGCAAACAGTCTTCAAAGAGTGCACTATATATTTTATAGATTCAGCAGATTAATGAACTGCTTTGGTGAGAAAAGCGAAAAAACGAAGGTAAGTCTGATAAAGTTAAGTTGCATGGAATTGGGAGAGATTCAAATCGATTGATTAAACTACACACACCGTGATTTTGTTACATCACTGACATTGCATTCCTGTATATTTGAAAATTGATTGGCATTGATGTATATTTTGAAAATTCATTCCATTTTTGAAGAATGGAAACAATTATTACTTTTATTGATGAGGATAATTTAGTAGGATTAACTGATTTATTTAATTTAATATAAGGGGGTAATTACCACTTTAACCCAGTGTTCATTTTAGTTTCAATTGTTTTTTTTATCCAGGATTCAGTACGGCCTTCCGAACTATTTGTGCAAAATGTTCAATTAAAAAAGCAAATCGAAGAAATGGAACTTCAGGGAAAACGAAAAACTGATGAACAAGATGGGTGGCCTTCAGGTTACTTTCATTTCATGAAAATAAAGGTATTTTATTTTAATGTAATGGATTAATATGATTCTCATAAGTGAGAAGTAAACATGCATGACTTGTGAAATTCTCGAGTGTAAGAATCTCCGAGGTTAAAGGGTAACTAATCTTCCGAATGGCTGTCGAATTCCTCGCGACATATATATACTAGCAGCCACATGGAGTGCTTCACATAATCACATTCCTCGATTTGATTATAAACAAGTTCAAGTTTGAATTTAGTTTTAGAATTTGACACATGCTCCAGCTCACCCAATGTTAACAAACTAATTTTTTATTAACTAATTTCTTAGGTTCATTGATAGTTTGACATTTTCATTATTGACGCGTTGGTCAATAAAGCATAAGTTTGCATGACACCCCCCCACTGATCCTGACTCGAATTCGCATAAATTTTGATTGTAGATATGGAAGAGATATGTGAAGTGTCTTCTCATCGGGATATTACTAACCGGGGCAATATTTCTATCATATTTTATCTGGAGTGCAGTTTCTCTAAATAAGAGGTAATGACTCAACTATCCATATTCGTATTTTGAGGGTCAGACTAAAGCTTGGTTCACACTTAAGAATCCTAAAGTGTCATAAGAATTTGGGATTCCCTTTTTCTGAGGTCACTGGTGTGCAAAATGCTTTGTCTATACTCTATCGGAAAGTAATACAATGGATCCCCGATTCTTAGGAGCGGGTGTGAACCAGGCCCGACTATATTTGAATTGCGTATAGATTACGAGTTTACTGCTTATTTTCGAACTCTTCTGATTAGACCGAAGCGCGTTGATGAAAGCAAAAAGACGGATCTTCATATGCATTTTGGTAAGTTGACATTGAGCAAGGTTGCCTTTGTTGTTTTGCCGTAGCAAAAGCGTGAAAGTGTTTCTGCCAAAATAAATTTCTATATATACAGTGGCGTAGCCAGCCTGACGATTATGTCGCCCTATATAAATTTCGAGCTATTATAATTATTCATGTCTTTAGAAATCTATTGTTTTCACAGCGGTCAGTGAACACTAAAATATTAGCATAGCGGGACAAATCGACAGGCTGGCTACGCTACTGTATATATACCAAAGTATAAAAGTACTAAAATGTTTCGCAATATTTTCTAGGAACAAAAACTATTCGGCAATGCTCAGATACGAACCAAAACCCAAATCTCAGAAACACTTTCCCAGATTTGGATTACGCTTTCCTGGGGTATGATATTATCAAAGGTTACCCCAATTCTAATGGTCATGATCCTGGTTTCGCCCATCAAATATTCTCTGCTGATTACAGTAAAGATCAACAAACAGCCGATTGTCGTTACAGTATTCCTAAAGGTTTGTCTGTCATCCCTGATGTATCCTGTGTAACATCTTTCACCTCGACGATCATACAGAATACGTTTGAACTACACAAATCTCTTTCAACATCAGTCTCAGCAAGTGGTGGTTTTGGTGCTTTTAGTTTTTCTGCTAGCTCAAGCTACAAGAAAACATCATCTGAAGTCTCGTCGGGAGAGAAAGTATACATTACATCTTCAGCGAAATGTTCTTATTACTTCAGTAGAGTTGATTTCACTGACCCTCCACCTCTACATCCAGGGTTCATCCGCTCAGCGAAATCATTAGAAAGAAACCATACAACAGCCAACTTAATAAAATTTGTGAAGTATTATGGAACACATTTTCCAACAACTGTGGTATTTGGAGCACGGTTTCTGAAACAACACAGCATGAGTTCACAGTCGTACAAAACAGCGTCTTCGAGATCCATCAGTGTTTCAGCGCAAGCAAGTTATTCTGGTTTAATCAGCGTCAGTGGAGGATTTAGTTTAGACAAAAGTGAAAGAGAAGCGGCCTCACAATTCTCTAAAGAAGTTGAAACAACGACAGTTACTGTTGGGGCAGCTCCACCAAGCAACGGGGAGGCTGCTTACTGGGCAGCAACTGTCAAAGAAAATCCTGTACCAACATCCTATAAAATTCAACCAATCTCTAATCTATTTACCAGTGTGTTTATGAAAGACACTGGGATCAATCACGATTTCTTAAGAAAGAAGTTAGTTGGAATTGAAAAATCTTATTGCGAACAATTACTCCTTGCAGGAACTGTGAATAATTGTGACGAATCCGTCTCCGTGGGGATTATAATAAACAAATATACTCTCCCAAATGACATTTCAAAATTCACAGCTGCAACAGAATCATCTTGTATTTCAAGATGCTTCGAACACCTTCACTGCTTGGCTATAGTTTATACAACCACGTCAAATGACAATTGCTTTTTCTATGACGCAAATCATGAACATATTATCCAGGATGAATCGAATGGCAAAGCGAAGATAATAATATTTCCTACCAGAATTAGGGATGATAAGAAAGATTTTAAGGTGAAAAATCTTCGTGTCTCAACCCAAGCTCGTCCGAATAGTACCACAACGGTTGATGCGAAATCGTGCAGGAAAACATGTGACCAGGATTCTTCTTGTGATGTTTTCAGTTTCTGCAGTGCGAAATCTTCCTGCTCCAGTGAAAGAAACAATTGCAGGTTGTATTCATCCAAGTCGGTGATCACATTTGAAAAAGCGGAAAATAAGTTTGAATGGATCACGTATTTTATTTCCTGACATTAATTAACCTATACTCTACAATATTTACTCAATAACTTGTCAATTGATAATAAATCACTCGAATTAACCTTTTTCATAACCTGAATGACATTGCGTAAATCTTATGGTAACAATTTAGAACCATAATTTTCTTATCAACCAACAGTGAAATAATAAACAGCAAATTTTTGCTCAATATAAACATGCAAATATTCCTCACCTTAAAAATTTTTCACGAAATATATCCACAGGCATCAAGATCCACAAACGAAATATTCCTGTGTGTCCGATAAAACGTTTCGAAGTAAAACCGTTTTGGAGGGTCCATCACATTTTCTAAAATTTTAATTACTCTATGGTAGCTGTAGTTAATGTATAGTTAATGATTTTGATGTATTAACGAAGTAAATTAATTCTGTGTAATTTTTAATTTTTTTCCTGCGTTGGTAGTAGAAAACGTCGTAGTTTCTAGTTGGTAGTATTGCAACTGTACACAATCATGAACTAAATTATAATGTAATTTTTATTAGTAGAAACGACAAAATATTCTTCACTTTCTGATGCGGTATTTTGCAGGACCCTAACCAAATGGATGAAACACAAGTTCTTTAAGTAAAATCTGGTACAAACTTATACACGGTTATACCCGATTTTAAATAAGTAGCTTTTAGGCTCTAATAATTATCATTGGTTGTGACTCACATCCTCCCAACCCCACCCCCCTCCAGGACATTACCGAGTGTGGACAATTTGACGTTAATGGTTTTGTATGGAATGAAGTATCCCCGGTTAATGGCAGGCTCATACTTCAAGAAAAATAAATTCAAAAATCAAAATCAAAATCTTTTAAAATAATTTTATAAAAATACGAAAAAAATGTTCTAAAATTTTAAAAATGAACTGGACATGTTTCAAAAAAAGATGATTTAATGGAGAAAAGGAAGAAAAACCGCCTGCAAAGCTCTTGGCTTACACAACAGCACAAAAGTCGAGATTCAAGCCGAACCAATTCAGCCAAATCGTGTAGTACTAACAGAAATTTTGTTTTTGAACAAACTGATGTAAGTTATGCTATTAATATGGTTAGATAGAGTAAGTATTGTCATTGGGAATGTCCTGTGAGATAATCATGTTTTAGGGTGAGGTTTTTCAGAATTTTTGTAATTAAAGGTTCTACAAAAAAGATCAGGTCAACAGGAAAGAGTGATAACGTAAGTAAACCACATCGATCACTCCCAGAACAAGATTTTCTTTAGGATTTTTTCTGTATTATGTTATAACTTGTAATTAATTATGACTGGCAAATATACAAAAATGATGTTTTTAATAGTTCATTGATTGTACTAGCAAAACTGAGAGTTTGAAATCTCTCTCACTAAATTTTAGACACAGTCTCAAACGAGAAAAATCTTTATTAAAAAATCTTTCCTAATTGTTTATCATTTATAAATTATAATAGTCTCTTATTGCTACCAATACAATACTTAGGCTACATATGCTAATGACTATACTATGTTTGACCTATATTGGTAATTATACATTATTAGAACCTTTTTCTTTAGTAAAGCTGGAGTTCATGTGATCAGCAATGCTCCATCTGGAATAGCAAGGTTTGTACAGTACAAAATAAGAGTGATGATACATTACAAAGCAAAAGTAAAAGCATTAAAGGAAATATACAACTTTTCCTTAAGTATTTTTATATATAATTTATATTCTTATGTAGTATTGAACTTGACCCCATATTTATTTCTATGGATGAAACAAAATGGATGTTTAATGATTTGGAAAGCCAGATTCCTTGGCAAGAAAAAAACATTAAGGTTCAAGGTACATAATACAATATAATATTCGAATACTGCACCCTGATGTATTTAGGAATGTTGGTTATTTCAATATTATGGTAAAGCACTGACCAGTATTAGTTAATTAGTATGTTTTAGAAGCATTAAATAAGTGAACTCCAGCCATTATTTGTTTTAGGTCATTATCACCGTCAACCTCGTCTCACTGCCTGGTTTGGAGATTTTTCTTATGAATATTCAGGACTTACTCTGAAACCTTTCCAGGTAAATTTTGTTCATCTTTTTGTCCAACCAGAATTTTGTCCATCTTCCGTTAATAATTACTCTACAACCAAACTGAAAACTATACTTTACTATTCTGTAAAGTGATAATTAATGTAAATACTATAATGCTACATTCTTTAATTCAGTGGTCGCCGCTTCTTAATATGTTACGCGAGAGGATTTTGAAGATGACAGGACTCACCTTTAATTCAATGTTGGCAAATCTTTATAGAAATGAAAAGGATAGTGTGGTATGTATATAAATCACTAAATTGAAAAATTACCTTCAATTGTTAGTATTGATCCTTGTGTTGCTTAAGATTGACTCAGATAATTTAACCAACAGATATCAAACCCTGAATGCCACTCCGAATTAATACTCTGTATAATATGGACATTTTTGCCGCAGAATCTATTCTAATTTAATTAGGATTGGCATTCAGACGATGAGTCATCACTTGGAACTGATCCTACAATATGCTCCTTGTCATTTGGAGAAACTAGAAATTTTGAAATGCGAAAGAAACCTGAAGATGTAAGTTAAGCGATGCTGTCTTTCCTGGATGAAAAATGTTCTAGTGATAAGTAAAAAAGTTAACTATTTTGTTTCGGTTTTTGTTTTATTTTGGTATTATTTCATGTTCATGTTTTAAAGATCAGGCCTTAAACGTACGTACTGTACGTGATCCATCTTAATAAATGATTAATTTACTAGAGTTAGAATTCGTGTGTGAGAATTAAATTATTGAAGTTAATATTTAAATAAAACAGAAAAAAAAGAGGCAACAAATGTATTTTTTATTCTCATAAGGTATAATAATTTATCTTACCATTTTGTTTTAAATATGATTAATTTACACACATAAACCTTTATTACAGAGAAAAACTTTGACCTGGAAAAAAACAGCATATCTGTGATCATTTTTAGGGAGATGATTATTCTGACGTTGAAACAATAAAAATACCACTGCCATCCGGTAGTTTGTTAATAATGTCTGGAGCAACTCAATCTGATTGGCAGGTAGGCTGCGAGGAAAAATATATGAAAAATATCATATAATCAAGTCACTCTTCAGTTCTGTGTATAGAATTATAGTTACTGCACGTAGGTTAAATTATATTCCGTCGCAGATTCTATAAATCATCTGAACTCAAGTTTGCATAGATTATCCGGTTAATTAACTGATGAAAGTTAGGGAACTGACATTGAATGTCAGTTCCCTAACTCTTTGCTTTTTGGTTTTGTTTGGAATTACCAACGTATTTGAGCTGTGTTAGCGGTTGTATCAGACAGTTTGTGATCTAAATATTGTTAGGACATGAAACGAATGAAAATTACAATCTGCATTTCAACAATTAAATTACGTTCTATATCGATATGGATCGAGTAATCTGGTAGTTTGGGCAATCTGGTATTTATGCGCGAAAGACGAGATGAAAGAGACACTTTTTCTTCAGTCGCCACTTGTTTTTTATCAACTAACACTTAGCAAGTAACGTGGCAATGCAGTCAGAATGCAGAATTTGCAACACTATTCTATTTAGTTTTTTACGAATACTAAACCTTTTTTTTACTATTTCTGAATATCTGTATAATTATAGTATTTTTTGTTTTAGCACCGTATTCCAAAAGAATATCACAGTCGAGGACCTCGTATTAATTTAACATTTAGAAACATAATACTCAGTCATGATACGTAGTTTTTTGTGATGTTATAAATTTTTGGATGTCAATCATTGCTTCCGTGCCAAAAATAACCATAAATGGCATACAACGAGATTGAAAATTCTAGAATACATATACATAACTATGCAGAGTACATTTGTGATTATGTCGTAGATTTGTGATTATTGATTATTTTTCTTCGCAATAATTGTGTACATTTTTAGCTATTGTAAAATGAAGACAATTTTTTGTGTAAATATTATTAAAACAACCTAATACGGGATCATATTGTTCGTTTATTTTCCTTTTTAAAAACATCTTTGTCGAGAGGAACGTTTTTTCTAAGAACAGAACCAAAATCAAACTAACTACAATTTCTCTGATTCAGAGCAAGATAATGATTCAAGAATTAGAGAAGAAATACTCTGGCTCTTGCGGGAAGATTGCCTGTCTGAAGATATCTGAAATTGGAACAGTAAATGTAAAAACATGTACGAGTTTTTGCAGCAAAAGTGAAGATATGCCAATGATCTCCTCTGGTTATGCTGGATAACATTATATATTGCAATTTCACATGTTGTTTTCGCCATGTTCTTTTCACCAAAAGTCAATCATGTCAATCTCCTATCGATCATGTGAAAACAACATGGAAAAAAACCGTAATGGCAAAAATGACGAAGACGCAAATCTCAAAAAGATCGGATGCTTTCTGATCAATGTTTCTGATCCACCACTTACAACTGCTTGCAGTGCTTGGGTTTGCTGTGGCATACGCCCCGCCCATGTTGTTAGAGGCCATCTTTGTTTTTAAAAGTAAAATTTTGAAAGATGACTTGATTTTGCTGTTGAACAATACGCAACCATGTAATGTACAGTAATAAAATTTTATATTTTCAACGATGTCAACGCAAATAGCCAAGGTGGGAGATCGTGTAGAGGTGACTGGTAAGAACCTGACTGGAACAGTCAAATATGTTGGCTCGACCATGTTTGCATCTGGGAAATGGATTGGAGTAGAATTAGACGAAGGCAAGGGAAAGAATGATGGTTCAGGTATGGCTCACATATTGTTTTCACAATTGTCGAATAATGCAGTTTGAAATTAGACTGTTGACATGTGTTCATATATGTTTACCATATATTTGCCAGAGCCTTTTTTAATTTTTAAAATTGCTATTTCATAATATTTTTTAGTTCAAGGAAAACAATATTTTACATGTCCAGACAACTATGGTATATTTGTACGACAGTCTCAACTTACTGTCCTCACAGACATGGATGTTTCTCCTCCTCAAAAACCATCAGTGAGTAAACTCCCCTCTCTCGGAATACCAAAACCTAGTAGCAGTCGGATACCTGGATCCTCAACCCCCAGTAAAGAAAAAGTGAAAGAAGAAAAGGATGAGGTAAATATACAGTATTAGACCTTAGAACACATTAATTTGTAAAGGTATGAAAACAAATTATGGGCTTAATTGTTGCAAAAAATGGTATGATATTTTATTTACAATGTCATCTAGTGTTTTTCATCATAAAAATTAACTGCCCAATATAGAATAGTATGTATTTTTTATTTTAGTCTGAGAAAACAATGCCAAGTTCAAGTTTATCCAAGATTGGTCGTCCTTCAAATGTTCCAAGTACCGGTACTTCCATTCCTGAACAGAAATCAAAGCAACCTAGTGGTCTTCAACGACCAACATCAGTTCGACCATCGTCTGGCTCAAAGCTCACTCCTCCTCAATCAAGTGGACTTCAAACACCATCAAAATCTTCTGCTAGCACTAAGTCAACTCTTCAAACCCCCGGGCAGACACCAACATCGTCCCGATTACAATTTCCACACAAACAAGTGCAACAACAAACAACAACTGTGAAACAGGAATCACCACCGGAACAACAGGCTAAGAGGGTACCAAAGCAACAACAACAGAAACAACCACAACAGCAACAACAACAACAACAACAGCAACAACCATCACCACCACAACAACAACAACAACAACCAGAGAAGCCAAGCAGTACCTTGTCCATGAGAGATATAGTTGAGTTACAACATCAATGTTCAGAAAAAGATCGTCAAATTCAGGATCTTGAAGAAAAACTGGCAACAGTCAAACAAAAGCGCCTGGAAGATAAAGTTAAATTGAAGGAACTAGAAAAGACAAAACTACAACTTGGTCAGGTAATGTATTATAATTGTATTAGGCTGTATTTATTTCTTTATATAGTAATTCCTCACTAATTACCACATACTGTAAAGAATAAAGAAAGATGTTTGTGAACTTTGTTGACTTGCATTTTTAGTTAGTAACTTACAAGACAAAATGGCAAGAATCTCAAAAGGACCTTCAAGCTCAATTAAAAGCAGCTAAGAAGGTAACTATTTTCACTTTCATATTTTTTGTATTGCCTGAAGATATTTGAGTTATTATGTACATTCATTCAGGAAGTTCAAGAACTGAAAGAGGCCCATGATGAAGAACCTGATGATTTAGCTTCACTTCAAGAAGCTGTTGAAATGGCCACATTGGATAAAGAAATGGCAGAAGAGAAGGTAGCAACACTGTTACAGTATCACTACAACAGTCAACAGTGACACCCTCAGTATTTTATCTTTGATTGTTTTTACTACACTCAATCTACCTACAATTTAATACTATATACTACTACTGTATATATTTTCCCACTCATCTTTCTGCAGTTTGTCTACAAAGAGCAGGCACGTTTTTTGCATCTGTTCTATATGTTTCTCACAGCTTGAATCTATGATGCAAGAAAATGAAAGTCTGAAGGAAAAGATGGAAGAACTTTCACTGGAGTTAGAAATATTGAGAAGTGAAGTTTCAGATGGGGGTATGGAAGCATTGTTTCTTAGATGTAGACTTACAGAGATCCATGTTATCCATATATATATATATGTACATCTGTTTTTGATATAATATTCATTGTTACAGGAATAGAAGGAGCAGCAACTAATGCAGAGATTAAAACATTAACAGAACAAAACACTAAGTTGAAGGAAGCCATTATTAGGTACTGAACACAAGCAGAACAAATTTGACGATATTTTTGACGTATTTGCGAGCACTACAAATAAAAATATTCATATATCAAAGAATACCTGCAATAATATCCCTTCCTTCCATCCATGCTTACTGCTATTGCTGTCGAAAGTATGAAGCCATGGAACAATGCTATTTTCTATTATATTTACATTGAGCAAAATATTGTAAATGTCCACAATATGGTATAACCACTGCATTTCTAAAATACGCAAAAACACTTAGTTTCGTCAGTTTCAGCGCGAATTAAATGCCCTTCACGAAAGGTCGGTAGGTCCAAAAGTGTTTTGCAACATAGTAAGTGTTGCACATATAATGGCAAGATGCTGCTAAGCTGCGCCTTGGTTATTTTAAAACACATCGCAGAATTGTAACAAGAAGAAATTACTCTGGCAGATAACATGCAGGAATGCTTCCCGCCTAAACCAGGCAATGAGGAAACAATCATTTCAATAATTCCGTCTTTTGTTGTTTTATTAGCTTCAGAGAGTTGATTCAGTCGGAAAAGTATGAACAACAAAGATTGAAAAAACAGTTCAATGACATAAGTAATAATATGACGACACTGCAAACTGAAAGAGATAAATTAAAAGAAGAATTAATGGCAAGTACATCTTATGATTGTACATACTACGTCGTCCAACCAAATCGTTGGCTTTAGTTTGCGCATGAAAAACATCGCTTTTATTGCCTTTGTCCTAAAGTCTAAACAACGGTAAAGGGCATCAATATACGTATACTATATGCCTTGTTGTATTCTAGAAACACACGAGATCAACCAGTGTATCATCTTTTTTTACAGGCCTCTGAAGCAACAGTGGATGAACTTAAGGAACAGGTAATAATGGTATTGCACTGTAGGCCGTAGGATGAGCATCCAAAAGATGCTTAGAAAACGGATTCCGTTGCACCCCTCGTGGAACTACATAATTTTCACATGAATCAATAGATAAAAATTTACTTTATCAGAATCCGTTGTTCCCCAAGCGAAACAGGTGCACAATTGGGAGAACAATCCCTCCAAAGTTTTATATATTCGCGCTTCGAAATATTCGAACCGCCATTGTTTTAGTAGCAAATACGCATGCGCTTGTCAGCCAAACTCGCACTGCGCACGCGCATAAGCACACACATGCTTCAAAGTGGAAACACGCTTAGTTATGCAAAACAATCATGGCTGAAAATATTTATAAAACTCGAATATCCTCATGTTTTATTCATTTTGTTGGCGTTACGGAGCAACTTTGCAAAGTTACACGCCAAGGGCTTAAGAAATGTCTTGAGTGTAGGTCTAAATGGGCCAAACTTAAATGTCAACAAGCTGAAATAGCTAAGAAATCGTACGAGAACATCGATGACGGATCTGTCAATTCATACATGGAGAACAGGAGAAGAACCCTGACAGCATTAACTTAGAATGGTACCATCGTATGAAATGCTGGAAGAGATTTTCTGATGAAGAGAATATCCGTAGACAACAGCGAAAAGAAGAAAAAGGAGAAGGAACTAGCTCTAAAACTGTAACTTCTACCGAAGAACTACATGTGGAAGTGGAACCAATAGAACCAAGACGAAAAATTACACGCCAATCAGTCGCAGGCGTTAATAAGACCTTGCCTAAAAGAAACGAGTCCAGAGATATGTATTGTTTGTGGAAGAGACGCCTCTTGGTCCTCACTAGACAAGGTATGGTCATTTTGATAGATATAATTATACTAGTGCAATAGTGCAATGTGTACTAGTAGCACAGCATTCTCGAGTTTGGTTTTAAAATATCTTGAATTGTGGTCAATTAAGTTTATTTAGGGTAAAATAGTTTTTAATGCTACAAACATCCAACTGTGTTATTAGCAGATATTTAGTTTAATAGTTTTGTTCGCACCAGGTAACTAAGAAGAGAAAAAGAACCCCACTCATGTTGGCAGAAATAATTGATGCTGGTCTTCTACGTACAGCTGCCGAGAGAAAGAATGATGAACGGATACTTGTGCAAATCCGGGGGAAAGACTGTGTAGCACTGGAAGTCCCCTATCACAAAGTTTGCTACTGCAATTATACAAAATTTCTCACCAGAGAGACAAAGAAGCAATTGGAGATTGAAAGATCTACATAAGTGTACGAGAAGTCTTATGATGTCTTCTGTAAGAAAGTAATCGAGACTGAGGTCATTGCAAATAAGCAAATAAGGTATATGAAAGATTTGCTGGAGAAATTTGTTGTCATTGCTAAGGACACCGAGAATGTGGATGCATCTAAATATAGAGCTTTTAAACTCAAGCAACAACTGATGAAAAGTTATCCCCAACTTGTGTTCTAAGTACCGAAAATGAGAAATGTTAGTGAGATTGTATATGTGGAAAATTTGGATTCTTCCGAATTGGTTGAGGAACATATGTCAAACAAGTCAGAAAACAACGATGAAGACTTTGATGAAGAGAGCTACACCGGTACCATTGATGATGATGATCTGAATTCCAACACAGAAACTGAGGAAAATTCGAGAGTCAATGAGTTACAAATTCTATACAATGCTGCATTGATTCTTCGCCAAAAGGTCCAAGATATACCAAAACTGAATCTTCGTTGGCCACCATTGGCATCTGATTTGACAATGGATAATGTGCAAAAAGTGGTTCCATGTGAACTTTTTAATGTCTCGGCTTGGACTTGTGGATTCTCTTCAGAGCCAACTTTAAGTGAGTACGTGCCAATTGAGGGCAAGAACAATGCCAAACTAACATTAATTGTACAAGACCTTCTGAATTTAGCATCTGGGGGAAGGAATCCTACACCCAAGAGCATAGCACTTGCCATGGCACTTAGACAACTGACAGGTTCAGCCTCAGTGATTTTTCTATTGAGTGGCTTTGGACATTGCATGTCACACTCATTTGTATTGTGCCATGAAACTGCCCTTGCACAGATGAATATATCCAATGATTCTGCTATTCCTCCAGGCTTTGTTAGTGATGTTCCAACTACTCTTGCATGGGATAATGATGATTTCTCAGAAGAAACTAGATCTGGCAAAGGGACAACTCACATCACTGGGGGCATTATCATTCAAAGGGAACAAAGTGCAAGTACTGAGTTACAGAAACGGGATAGCATTCCAAGGCTATATTTAAGCGAAATATTTAACTTGTTTCTTGATTGTGTGAGTTGTATGTATATTATATATTCTCCATCCTGTTTGATACAGGTGGGTTTTTTACCTCACAATTTTTTATTGAATTAAGTTGTTAATAAGTAGAATTATACGTTAAAACGGTATTTTGAAACAATAGCCAATGAATTGAAGTGATTTAGCATATGAGCAAGCAAAATGTACAATGTGTTTTAACAATATTTAATGTGTGTGTATTTATTCGTTAATATTACAAGGTTTGATCTTTATTCCGTGATTTTATTTTGTTATTTTTACACGGGAAATCGGGGAAAACCCACAGGGAAAATCCATTTTTCCTGTCTGCGCGTGCGCAGTGCGAGTTTGGCTGACATGCGCATGCGTATTTGCTACTAAAACAATGGCGGTTCGAATATTTCGAAGCGCGAATATAGCAAACTTTGGAGGGATTTTTTTCCCAATTGTGCACCTGTTTCACTTGGGGAGCGACGGATTCTGATAAAGTAAGTTTTTATCTATTGATTCATGTGAAAATTATGTAGTTCCACGAGGGGTGCAACGGAATTGCATCTTTTGGATGCTCATCCTACGGCCTACTGTGGAAAAGATCAGAACTGCATTTTTACAATTTTGATTGCAAAATTAAAAAGAATGGTTGGAAAAAACTCTTAGGTTGATTTTGCTATCGGGGCTGAGGAAATGGTCGAAACTTTGACTGACAAGAACTTGGAGCTTGGTGAAGAAATTGAATCTTTGAAAGAAACTGTTCAGGAATTGGTAAAATATATTCCACTTTAATAATATCCTCTACCACATGTGTTTTAAATTGCAAAGTGGTTTCTAACAAGAGAGTTGTTTTATGCAAGAATTTATACCTTGTAGCTAGTTTAGCTGTTTAGGTAGTGAAGACGCTTTTCTGTGCAACGAGTTCCGATTACCTACTCCATAATGATGTTGTTACCTTTATTATTCAAACTCTTTTATATATTTCCCAACCTAAAAACTGTTCATGTCATGTTTTCAGGAAGCGTTGCAAGACTTAAATGAACAACTGGAAGAAACACACAATCAAACAGAAAATGAAATGCGGGAGGAAATTGATATGAAAGAGAATTCTATACGCGAGGTATAAAATAATAAACACTTTGTTTCTTTTAAATACTTTCAAACACAACGCATCACTTTCAAACACAACGCATCAATTTCAAACACAACGCATTACTTTCAAACACAACGCATTACTTTCAAACACAACGCATCACTTTCAAACACAACGCATAACTTTCAAACACAACGCATCACTTTCGAACACAACGCATCACTTTCAAACACAACGCATCACTTTCAAACACAACGCATCAATTTCAAACACAACGCATCAATTTCAAACACAACGCATCAATTTCAAACACAACGCATCAATTTCAAACACAACGCATCAATTTCAAACACAACGCTTCAATTTCAAACACAACGCATCAATTTCAAACACAACGCATCACTTTCAAACACAACGCATTAATTTCAAACACAACGCATCAATTTCAAACACAACGCATCAATTTCAAACACAACGCATCAATTTCAAACACAACGCATCAATTTCAAACACAACGCTTCAATTTCAAACACAACGCATCAATTTCAAACACAACGCATCAATTTCAAACACAACGCATCAATTTCAAACACAACGCATCAATTTCAAACACAACGCTTCAATTTCAAACACAACGCTTCAATTTCAAACACAACGCATCAATTTCAAACACAACGCTTCAATTTCAAACACAACGCATCAATTTCAAACACGACGCATCAATTTCAAACACAACGCATCAATTTCAAACACAAGGCTTCAATTTCAAACACAACGCATCAATTTCAAACACAACGCATCAATTTCAAACACACAACAACGCATCAATTTCAAACACAACGCATCAATTTCAAACACAACGCATCAATTTCAAACACAACGCATCAATTTCAAACACAACGCATCAATTTCAAACACAACGCATCAATTTCAAACACAACGCATCAATTTCAAACACAACGCATCAATTTCAAACACAACGCATCAATTTCAAACACAACGCATCAATTTCAAACACAACGCATTACTTTCAAACACAACGCATAACTTTCAAACACAACGCATCACTTTCAAACACAACGAATCACTTTCAAACACAACGCATCAATTTCAAACACAACGCATCAATTTCAAACACAACGCATCAATTTCAAACACAACGCATCAATTTCAAACACAACGCATCAATTTCAAACACAACGCATCAATTTCAAACACAACGCATCAATTTCAAACACAACGCATCAATTTCAAACACAACGCATCAATTTCAAACACAACGCATCAATTTCAAACACAACGCATCAATTTCAAACACAACGCATCAATTTCAAACACAACGCATCAATTTCAAACACAACGCATTACTTTCAAACACAACGCATCAGCAGAAACTCTGGTTGTTGCTAGACGATGCAGGCCTGCAGGATCGTTTAACGTTGTTATATTTCCCTGTCACTAACACCACTATTAGTCTAGGACGCTCTACTCTACCGTATTTTATTTTGCTGCGATACTTTGAGCGAGTCCTAATCCGTATTCAGTGAATTAATGATTTATAATTTAATACTTTATTTTCACCGTTAGTTTGAGAGGAAATTGGAAGCTGCCCACAAAAGTATTCTTGACCATCAACAAACTATCGAAAAATTCCGAGAGCTCGTAACTGAACTACAAGTGAGTTTTGTTTGTTCTTATGTTCATGACTTCGAGAAAAACTGTTGCAAGTAAATGAACAATAAATATAAATATTTTTATATTGACGTTATATAGGACAGGATTAGAGACTTACAAGAAGCAGGTGAAGATGGAGATAAAGTTGCTGTTGAAACACCATCAATTCCTGAAATTATCAATTTCAAAATCCAAGCCGAAGAAACTAAATCACACGCAAAGGTTGACTTTCATTTTATACCCTCTCAATTCTGTTACGTTCGATACCAATTTTCATCGTCTTTTTCATTTTTTTTGTATATAGGTGATGGACAGTGAATTACAACAGTTTGAACTACAACAATGTAGGGAAAGACTAAACATGATTGAATCATTTCTTCCTGAATCTTTTACAAGACGAGGAGGTTTGTCCTTTGAATTTTGATCAGCGCTTTATTGCCTGGCAAGGCGTGTGCAAAATATTTTGGTAATCTTATGATTATAAAATGAGCCTGAAAGCGAAGAATAGAGCTTGCACACGAAAGTGTCTTATCGAACGTAAAACTATGCTACAGAAGGCAATCAAACTACAGCCCACATAATAAGAAGAGATTCTTCGTAGAAACTACCAAATTACAGACAATTTTAAATCAATTATAATAACTTGTAGGTACACCACGTAAGTATTAAATACTGCAGTATTTAATACTTACGTGGTGTACCTACAAGTTATTATAATTACTAAAGTCGCCATGCAATCATACAAGAAAATTATTAATTTTAAATCAGTTTAAAAAACAACCCATCTTTTAGCCTTTGTACAACTGATGCCTGGAATTAGTAAAAGTCTGGGAAGCAGGATCTGCATTAGTCTCCCCTATCAACTGTAGTTTAATTTGAATACATGTTGTTAATTTTCAGGAGATTCAGATGGAATATTGCTGCTGTTATTAATGCCAAGGCTCGCTTTCAAAACCAATTTTCTTCAAAAAGAATTGAGAGAAAAGGTATTTTTTATATTCAATGTTAATATGAAGTAACTAAGTTAAACATGCAATGCGACATAATAGTTATCCAGTAACTTATTATTTTAGTATATCATACAGTGGGTGGCCTTAGTTAACTATGTTATCATTGTTGATCTTTATTTTAGTTTGACATCTCAGCGCAAATTGAAGACCCTGAGTTACTAAAAGGAAGCAATGGAGAACAGACAAATTTTGCTGCAAATTTCGTTTTTACTTTATGTACATTTCAATCTGTAGTTAAACAGTTTGAAAGGTAAACAAATGAATTTTTGTTATTTGTTGTTGTAGTCCTGGAATTAGACGACCATTCTTGTCATTTTTGTCTTCCAGAGGTCTGTCAGAATGCAACAGCGGAGCCTTTGATCGAATTGTTAGTACTTACACTGAACTCGCGTCACACGAGAGAGTTCTGGATGACTTCATCAATCTCCTTCGGAAAGGTCAGGTATGGATAAAGATAGATGAAGTATTGTTTGCGTTCTGCGATGTAGTTGCGCCTCCATTGTCCCTTAACTAGGAACGTAACAACCATCTTAAAACTACTGAGAATACAAATTATATATAATTATAAATTTCCATATTGCGTTGAAGAACAGTAAGATTGTATCTTTTATCTTTCAGCTTGATGATAATGTTCCAATGGAACCCCTGAAAAAAGCGATTGCAAATTATACTGTAAGATGAAGTTTTAGAATAACAATTCAAATCTATGATATCTAATTAATACTGTAAATGAAAAATACGAGTTTTTATGTTTTTTAATCATTCAATCAACGAAGGCACAAGAGTTTATTCATCTCAAAATGTGTTGTTGTTTTTTCTTGTTGTAGATGATGGCGAGTTTTCATTTCAGTCATGAGATTGCGTCATGCTCTGACTTCTTGCAAGATCATCTTGAAATACTTAACTCGGGTTCTGATGGAATCTCAATTGGATTGGCAAAGTTCAAAGAAGTTTGTGGAAAGGTAGCGTAAAAATATTTTATTTTGACATTCTCGTCCTACAACAGTACATGTCCTGCGCGCGTAGTTGTCCCTTGAAATACTGCATGGGAATCCTACGATTCTCACCCGTGGAAATGGCGTCATCATTTTGATACATCGTATTGTTACATTATTTGGATGCTACGAATGAATGTTGCTCAACAAACTGGTCGACCTTGAGAGCATAACTTGCACAAATCTTAATCTTGTATATTTTTCTTAATATAGAATTGCGATGAGGGAAGCGAATTGGGGACATTATTTTCTGATATTGAATTACGCAATATGGAAGTTAGACAGTTATCTCGAAAAGTATGGATGTTATGATAATGATCATGTTTGCACATGTTTGGAGGATAATCATATTTTCTAAGCCAGAATAGTCCGCAGTGTATAGCTGCTGCCTTGCCGCGACTTCGACCATAAAAAATGGCACCTTTGAAATACGAGATGAAATTTCCTGATCACTCTATTGATCGTATTTTTTCCCTCAGATAAAACGTAGAGGTATTCCCCAAGAAAACTCGAGTCAACTCGCGCTTTCAAAAGAGGTACTGTATTCGATCGTTTTACATTTTTCTTCAGGTGTTTTTTGCAGAATTCCGTTTCTGTTATCTGTATTTCTGATTACAGTATGATGTCCATGATTTTTCTTCTTAAGAGATTCAGTCGTTGAAAATGATGACATATTTATCTATTAAAGGTCCAAGATTCTTTGCGTAATTGTCTAAAGACGTATGAGAAGACGGTCCAGTTTATTTATGAGTACATGTGTATTGTACATGAGAAGTCGTCAGCTCTTGCAGGTATTAATCCTCCACAATCTTCTTTTTCATCCGGGAGACCTCGTTATTCTAAGTTTTAACTGGCCAAAAACGGCCGGATCAGTAAAAGCCGCCTGGACGAATGCCTGTATTCAAAAACCTCTCTGACACTTCTCACACTCATCGAGTGCAACATAAAGATTTTGTTATTACTTAACAATGAGAATGTTCATTCTTAATCAATGGAAAGATTTAGGGTAAAACACCGAAATTCAAGCTCTTATTCGAATAGAAATACCGCTATGGAGAAGTTATGAAAAGATTGAGATCTCCCACTTCATGGGTTTGAGTATGAGTGAGCTTTTGAAATACAGGTGTAAGAGAGATGCAATATTTCACCAAATATATCCGACATGTGAAATTTATTATTAGAATTACATTTTTCAGTTTTAATTTTTGGCAGATGATGAATGTCTGTTGAGTGGTCAACTTGAAGAAATGTCGCAAGATATTGCTACTCTTGTCTTTGAAAACGAGACTGATGCTCCCAAGGAGTGCCTTAGGTAGATTATACCAGTCATCTACTGTAGTTCTTTTTCGTTATCAGTTAACGGATAAAACACTTCATATACTGATTATATGATTTCAACAGTAATCTCTTTTTGCTAAAATTTTTGCTAATCATGATAATATATGCTTGTCTTAGTTCTGCATTCAATGACGTCATCGGATATCTTTCAAGCTTCTTGATCAAAATGCAAGAAGGAGAATATGATTGTAAACCAACAGGAAAGACCAAGGTACTGCTTGGGAGAGCCAAAATATCTGCTACACGACATGCCTCGTGCCTGTGGTAAACGTTTAAAAAGAAAAATTTGTTTAATGTTTACTGTACAGGCGGAGTTACCATATGTCGCACGTGCAAAGGCATTACGTCACGAGTTAGCTGAATCAGGAAGTTCTGAAGAAAAGCTTGTTGCGAAGGATAAAGAATTGCATGATTCAAGAATAGCGTTAAAATTAAAGGTTTGTGCAAGTTTTATTATAAGTATGAGGTGAATTCGATTTGACCTGTGGCGTTGTTTGCAAATGAAAGGGTTGAAACAGTTTAGTATATTGATGCATGATGATTGATCAAAGATGACTCGCGCTGGAATGGGCGTGATGTTGTTAACTGCATTCTATTCTCTGCTTCATCACCTGTTCGATGAGGTTCCTTAATTCATTTTACAGCACAAACTTATTCCCCTAAATCGTTGGGATGTTATATAATATGTAATATGCACTTGCTGATCGATGTTCTGGTAAATGTCTGATTTTCAATTATTTACAGTCGGAAGAAGTTTCTCAGGCAAATATTCGTGTTGGTCTACTGGAGAAGAGGCTTGATAATGCATCGAAAGAGGTAATTTAGAGGTTGTGTTTTATTTAACAAGGTGACTGCGTAGGTGACTGCGTCTGCATAGCGTTATTCCATGGTTGGAGTTTTAGTAGAACAAAATATGTTGAGTCTGAAGACAAAAATAATTGCTTCAACTAATTCACAGGCTGATTCTCGCGTGGAACAAGTCAATAAGAAACTGGAACAAACAAACGCTGAACTGGAGAAAAAATCTCGGTTTGTTAAAATATAAGGCAGATACAGTAGTTTATTATACAAAACACACTTCTCTGTTCTGGTTAAATCTTGAAGACTCTCTCATTTCATGAGCTCTCTGATCTTTAACAATGTTAACCACATTAAATATTTCTTCTCTTGTATTAAAGCGTTTATGAAGAAACAATGGATGCACTTCAAGCCGACATTGATAATCTTGAGAAAGAAAAGGTAGACCTAAAGAAGAGATTAGATACTTTATCTAAGAAATCTCTACTACAAGATTTAGCTCGACAGACTTCGGGTATCGGAGCTTTAGTGGCTGGTGAGTTTTGATTTGATTTTCTTCTTTAGTTTTGTTGGATATGGTCGGTGTGAATAAGTTACTGTCGTTCATTTTTTTATCATACATCATAGCACTTATAACTATTCGTTTGTTTCCATCTGTCAAACGATGAAAATCGCACTGAAAGTCGCATCAAGTGTAAACAGGTATTAAAGGTCGGTGAGTTACGTCGTCTGTTTTGCAGGTACTGCAGGCAAGAGTGGTAGTGGTGCCTTCAGAGGTGCTCCAGGATCGTCTGGTGAACCAGTTCAAGTTGTCATAAAAGATTCACCAGTTGTTTTGCGACAGGTAGCTATGTTTTGAGATTAAGAATCCAATACAATTACTTTTGGAAAGTCTGAATTATATTCCCCAATCTTTTCACATTTATTGATTTTTGTCGTGAATTGGTTCAGTAATGATTATACATGCAGCCTTTATGTTAGTTGATGTTATAAACACCAGTATTTTTACTTTTACAAGGTGGACTCGCTAAAAGCTGCATTGAATTATGTCAAAAATGAAAACACAAGAATTAAGGGAGAAAAACTGAAGGTATGAGGAATATACCTGACCAAGATAAAACACATCCTACAACATCTTGCCATATCTTGATATACATATATAGAAATCGTTGCTAAACCAGGATGAACTATTACAAGCTTGCTGTTATACTGCATGTATTCAAATAGGAGAAAATGAACTAATGGAATTACAACACTGTTCAAAGCACAAACAGCGGAGGCCAACCATAATGAAAAATTTCTTATGATGTTGCAGGCCAGACTACAGGCACTTCCTCCCATATTTGTTCCACCAAAACTTGGTTCTGCCCCATCGACGCTCAACGCGAGTGAAAAACGTCTTGAAACACTGGCCAAGATTACTGAGTATTCCAATGATGTTCAATCATTACTCGAGGTAAGTTCTCAATCAATCATTTTCCGCTCTGAAAAAGCTTCCATAGCCGTCCTTGCTGGTGAATTTCTCAATGCCGCGAGTTTCATTCTGCATATTCCTGTTTCTTTTTAGAGCATAAACATACTAAATGCGTCTCCTCAAATTGTTGATTTGACGAAGACTAAAGCAGGTGGGAGCAGGGATTGATTATGTATTATATCATTGATTATATTATTGATTATTTCATTGATTATATCATTGATTATATCATTGAATATATCATTGATTATATCATTGAATATATCATTGAATATATCATTGATTATATCATTGATTATATCATGAAATATCTTTTTATAATACTATTTTCTGTACAGTAAATATAATTGTAACTGATCAAGGATTTTATCTGCATGCTTTGTATTCAGCGAGAAACTCGTTTAAAGAGATAGACCGGAGAGCTAGATTGAAAGAACTTTTAATGAAAAAAGATGAAGTAAGATCTTTGTCATTAATTTCAGAAGTAATTTTATTTATATGTTCATTTGTTTTTGTTAACTTTTCTCACGCAACTTAAGATGTTTGAAGGTTGGATATTTGTATTTTACTGGTACATACATCATCAAATTAATTCCTGTGTATCGTATATTAGTTACAGCAGAAAATTTATCAATTGATGGCATCCGTTAAACCAGGAGCAAATGTAAAGACATCATTCTCATCATTTATATCTCCAACATTTTCCAAGGTATTGCCAACTCATTTTCTAAGATCATCAGGTAGTTTGCAAAGAGCGTAAGAAAGAGCGTGGTTGAATGCAACCTCGTGCCCAGGCTTATTCAGTGAGCCATGTTTAGGTGGGGTATATTGTAGTGATGAATAATTGACTTACAGCTAGTGTTACCCTAATACAGACTATACAGCTATAATTATTTGCAATGCGTGGTATTAGCTTTGTTTCGACAATTTTAATGTTTTTATATATTTAAAGGCTTTGCAAGAGAAGATCACTCCTGCAGTTCTTGGTAAGATAACTATTCCAAACGTATCAGACGACAAAGGAAAGGTCTTTCCGGTAACTCTTCGATCGAATGAATTTAGAAGAATTCATGAAACATTTTTGAACTAATTATATATTTTGAAAGCCAACATATTTACCCGATGTGTGAGGGTGTATGCAATTAATATATTATGGTAGAACTGTGTTTACGAAATATCAATTTTTGTTTTGATTTTTGATGTCCATTAACACCATAATCCATATATCATAAATATTCTCTTCAGTCGGGTATAATTGTCAATTTGTCAGATCTGTTTTTTCCCTTTGACTAGACACAGTGTTTTTTAGGGATTTGTTCATTATTACATACATATGTACAATTTTTACATCCATGTTACTCTAACGTAATTTCTCCTTTTCCACGCTCAACGATAAAATGTTTTTCTCTCACATGTAACAGCCTCACAGTATCTTCTGTCTACCAAGCATGCATCATGCATGCTTGTTAAATAAATTATTGCTTCCTTTACCCCAGAATTTTGACTAAGATTGAGCGTCCATGGTTCTGTAGGACTAACTATAATGTTTTAAAACTACATAGAGCTAACAATATTTATTCTGTTTTTCGACTTGGTAATTCTTTTCTTCCATTTTCTGAAAATTGCCAAAAAATTGTTACAGTAAAGCCCCGCATAAAAGAACCAGTGAATTTTGACTTCAGGCTGAAGTGGTTCTTTTATAACAGGTACTTAGAAAGAAATCAGGCTGAAGTGGTTCTTAACTGGTTCTTATTTCCAGTCAAAAACAATTGTTCCTGGTTTAGAGTTTTAAACCTCTTATTGTATACAATGAGACTAGTAAATGAACTGTAATTTAACTGTTAATTATATAAACTATAAATGTAACTTGTCTTTAACTAGAATTGGTAATTGTCTAGCCCTTGGGGGCAGATCTTATCATCATTTGAACCATCAGCTGTTAACAAACAGCCAGTTTTTTCAAACAATCTTCTAAAAAATTCTTTATTTTTACTTAGCTCCCTCCATGCCTCTGCTGTCCACTTTGTCATAAGGATCCTTCTTTCTCTGGCTGAGAGTTTGTCATGCCATTTTTCTAGATTTTGTTCCTCCTCCAACCACCTTTCCATTTCTGCGGCTATTTTTACTTTCATCATTTTTCCACATCCTGCATCAACTGGCTGGATCTTATCCGTGTGATTTTCAGGAAGCATGTACACTGATGCATTGATTTCATTAGTACCTGCTTACTAATTCAGCTAAAAGTTTAATAAGGTTTCTTAAGAACCAGTTTCATTTGTCAGCCTGAAGTGGTTCTTGTATTTTGGGTGCTTAATTGCCCAAATTTCAGGCTGGTGGTTCTTAACCCACTGGTTCTTTTATGCGGGGCTTTACTGTATCAATCATTCCATAAATCACCGGATTTAGAGCTGACGTTCCGATGATATAAAAGAAAAACATCCACTTCCAATTATTTTCAAATGGAGTTCCACTGATTTTCCCAAGCATGATTAGAATCCACCACAGTTGAACTGGTAAAGCACTGACCGCATAGCAGACTACCACAGTGACACTGACAATAAATGTCTTCACGTTTCGTCTGTGTTTAGAGATTGTGTTATGTTCATTATCTTCTTGAAAACTTTCCTCACTCAATGATAAAACCGTGTTATTATGCTTCGCAAGGGTGACACAGATTTTCGAGTAAAGTATTGTAAGAAATATGATGGGAATAAAATAATTGACAATGAACACAAACAAAACAGAAGCGTTAAACATGTATCTTGGCCAATCCCCAAAACAACCTAAAATAGGGTCGTATTTTAAAGCCCAGATATATGGTGTTACGCAGATAAATGCAGCCAAATACACAATTAGAATAATGATATTTAGTTTCCAGCGCTCTGTAGCTGGCTGAAACGGGTACACTACAATGCGAAATCGAAAAATTCCGATTATAACCATAAGATAAGGTGACGCAGTGAAAAATAGAAGTTGAAACGGAATAAAAAACTTGCAAATAATCGTTGAGCGAAGCATAGTAAATGTTGGTTCCCATAATTGACCAGCCTCGTCGAAATAACTTAACAAGACCATGATATCACAAATTGCAAGGTGGAAAACTTGATAATAATAGTTCATATTCAATAGGCGTCTTTGTCGACAAATCGTCGCAGCGACAAAAGTGTTGCCAAGCACACCAAAAAGAATGACAAGAAATAGTACTGCAGCTGAAAAACGATGAGATGTTGGTAAATCAGCAAAAGTTGAATTTTCAGTCGAAGCCATGCTAACTGTTCCGATTATGATGTATATAGAAACCTTCAATTGAAACTAATCTAAAAAATCACCTGTTTTTTTAAATTGAGTTTAATTGATGAAATTAAAAAAGGAGCATACAAATGCCGCCAATAAGCCTCAGCATTATTATATTTACAAATAATTTAATTAGAAAAATTATGAAAAGTATATTGAACAAAATTTTGAACTGTTATAAACAGTTTTCGCTTTTTGAAAGACCTCACTTTTCGTGTTCGCTATGTTTAAAAAAATCGGTCAAGCGTCCATATTTAATGGCGAGGAGTGAGGAATGATGATACGCCACTAAACCCGATTTAAATTTACGTATTTGCCATTTCCTATTCTCCCGAAATTGATTTCGATCAAAGTAGTTGCTGCCACAATGATAAATAAATACTCATCAAATGCGGTATAGTACAGTCACAACTGTCCTAAAATTTTATGGCAGTCAACAATTGCAGCTGAAAATATTAGCCTTGTACGCAACAAGCGCTATAGGTTTTCGTTACGATTTCGCAAACTTTCTTGCGCAATTCGGTGTATTTGACTCCCATGCTCAAATATAACAATATTCTTCACCAATTTCATTTACTTTACGGTTTCAATTTCTTCTACGTTTCAAATCAGAGGCTAATCTGGATGCATCTGGCCTAGGAATTGGACAATTGATGTCTGCGAATACACCGCTGAATATGAATCAGTGATATGAATGCAGAATGCGCAGGATTATCTATAAATGTGTCGTCAAAAATAATCAGCATAATATGCATTCATCATGTGTGCAAGAATTTTATTGGTTAATTATGAATATGACGCGCTGTGGTCACACCCAAGCGCATGTCCATCATAAGATATGCAAAGTTCACTGGTCAATAGTCACAACTCGCAACACCAGTATTTGTTTGGTATTAAATAATACCTCAGCAAAGGGATTATGGTTAATTTGGAACATCATTGCTGTTCTGATAGGAATATCCACATAAACTTAATACGTGTGTATCTCTACGGCAGGATAAAAGATAAATAATTGGAAACTTAAACCGTGAGTACTAATCGCATTTGTTTATTATATACAGTACATTATATGGTTCCAGGAGCGTTTTAGAAAACTACAAGATATGGTTTTAGATGATTGTGCTTTGCCTTTTGCTTTGGCCTACTTTTTCAATCATTAATAATAGTCACAATAGTTTAATATCTCAATATTTTTCCCTCTTGAAGGCGTTTCGATCGGGAAAACCAAAGGCACTATGCCAAGGGGAACCCCCATATTCTCCTATGGGTAAAAAATGTGCTGAGTAAGCTTATTATTGAAGGAAAAATGCTTTTTATCATCTTATTTCAGTTATTTTTACTAAAAAGATGTATTTTACTTCATTATGAAGTGGAACATCTATCATCTTGCGATTTTTGTCTATTGAACAACACTGTATAAATTTGTGCACTGATTTTAAATAAAGGTTAATATTTTATTAGCATAACTGGCTTAATGGCTTGATAATTGGAATCTGTTATTGATGACTCTATCATAGAAAATTGTGTAATCTCTATCTTATTGCTGACCAGACAAGCTGAAAATGCATGAACATGGTCGGAATTAATCTAACAATCAACCTTTGTGTAACCTTTCAAATCTCCAATAAAACTAGCTGCCAATTCAGCTTGCATGGTTTCAAAAATATATAGTAAAAGTAGTGCTACAGCACAATGGGGTTATGCTAGCCTAAAATAATTTCCTTCTAAGAAGGTTTTTTGGTTCAAATGCCTATACTAAACCAATACTTTAGCGCTAGGTTTGTGGCTTTAAATTTACACAGAATTATTTATTGCTTGTAAGCACACCCCCATCCCTCCCCCACAGGCCTCCAATCCCAGTCAATGTATATATGTACATGTAGTGCATGTCAGTTTAATTATTTCAAAAAAATAAACACTTTACAACCATTTTCTTTTTAATATCTAATATCTATACAAGTTTATTTGTTAAAATATAATTAATAGTTACATTTATCTACAATCTCAAGTGTTTGCATGTTAGTATAATATTGTATGTTGTATACTGCAAGAATAAAAGAACCCATATTGATATACATGTTAAAAGTAATCTGTGATATTTAAACATTAAAAATTATAACAAGCAATAAATCATATTTTACAGTAAAATGGATGAATGTACATTAAATGTATTTACAAACTAAAAGTATTGTATCTAAAACACACAGCCCATTGGATTATAAAGCAATCGTTATTGGAACATTTTATGAAGTGCACTTAATTATTAACAGTTGTTTTGGGGTAACTGTAGCTTCGTATATTCTATGCATGAAGTAAAAATGCACCGAAATACGACTCATGGCTATTAAAGTAGTACAATTTGGTGAATGGTGCTGATACAGAGATACGTTGCCCCTTTGTAAGACGGAAAACGCCTCCAACATAGTTTGTGTTGAATTTATTATGTGAACTTGCACTGCTGTGTCCAGTTAATTTTACTACATCATCAATTTTCACTCTGTGAGCCATCACTGAAGTATCGCCAGCATAATAATACATCTGTGAGTAAATGTAGTAATATCCATCATGGGCTACGTAAAGATAACCATTACTGTATAGCATTCCTCCTGATGTGTGACCAACAAGCCACTTGGTGATCCTGTTGTATGCTAAAAAATGTAAAAATGCATCAAAAACTCATTTATATAAACGTTGTATTAGGGTGGTCCATTTTCACAGCATCATCTGTATGCAATGATAAACCATTCATTGCACCACCATAGTTCACCCTTTCGTGTTTTAAATTATATTTGAAAAACGTAACCTTCAGAAGATATTGTCTTGGATAGTTAATTTAAAATTGTAGTACATACATAAGTCAGGTCTACGTGCGCGACCATATCCAAGGAGATGAGCAGATTCAGCATACTGTAACAAAGAATAACATCACGAAATGGCTTCCTCGTTTATGAAATTTAATCATAAAAAAACCCTGTCACGTGGGTTTTACTTTGCTGGTTAAAAAGACGAATCTAAACTTCCGAGAAACATGGTTAGTCATGGTTAGACACACGCAGAAATATTCTTCATGTTATGGACATCAACAAGAGGCTTGAATGTGAACATTCAAAACAAATCAAAATGTACCCATTAGTTTAGATTAGTTGTACCCACACACAATTGTACGCAATTTTTCAGGACCTCGGACCAAACTCCTTAATTATAACCTCTCAATACTTACTGTTGCTGTAGGTTTAACAGTGGGTGATATTCCAGGGGGTCCCCGTGCACCTGGTGATCCAGCGTCACCTAGAAATAGAAGTATTTATTGTAAACATAGACTTATGTCCCAAGTCTAACTCGATCTTTACAATAAGTGACGCAGCAAGTTAAACACGGGCGATAAGGGGATCAGAGAGGTGAAGAGCGAAAACTGCTGGGAAGACTAGACAAGATCCTGTCTTGTGACGTCATGAAAACGGAACTTTGGGGATAGATATATCGTGTAATCAATAAAATATTGCATTGAAATTTATATTTCGGATTCTTAAAGATGGAAATATTGTTACTGCTGAGACTAGGAGAATAGTAAAATTACCTTTCTCACCACGATCACCTTTTTCTCCAGTTTGTCCTAAATGATAATTTAATGGTGTAGTTAAATCAAATTCATTGGGGACATTGATTTTCGCAAGGTTTCTGGCCTGTTTCTAAATAATGTAATATTTTGTTCGAGGGTTGGTAGCTAAATAATAAAGCCAAACTCCGTTACACTAGTTCTTTGATATTAATGGCGATTTGGTCCAAAAGCTAAACTACCATTCCTGCTTTGATAATTCGATCTGTCCTAACAAACCTTTAATACGTAATGCATTATTATGATGCAATATTTGTCAAATTTGTTCCTGGCTTTCATGCTTTTGACATTGTTTTAAACCGTTCGTAAAATATCTTTATTTTTCAGTTTCAAAATGTGTGGAAAAGATATATATATGGTGGTTAACTTGGGATAAACATGTATTGAATGAGGTAAGAATTACCTTTTGGTCCTCTTGGCCCTTTGGGACCTTTAGGTCCTCGAGGTCCTAGAGTGAAATAGAGTTATAAAGTTAGTTATAAAGTTAAGTCATTGATTTCTTTATAGTCCTAAAGTTATATAATATAAAACGTTTGTTGCTGAATATCCCCCTGAGATATATATAATACACATATAGCAGTAAAAAATAAACATTCCAAGAGATTTTAATATTCTGGTCTTGGCAGATACATATTTGTGCAGACATGTACCTCAGAGTGTATAGGGTATGAATCGACGGAAAGTACTCGGTTTTGTTTCTTAAATGTTCGCATTCTTCCGGTTTCACTGTTTTGTTGCCATGCAAAGAGCGCGAAAGCAAATATTTAGACATCTTGATAAGTGCATATTATTTTTGGACTCAAATCAACGACATCCGAATCTAATTTCAACCAAGTAGAATAGTTTTATTGTTCAGCGCTTAAGCGTGTACTTAAAATAGCGCAACCATCCCAGTTGGTAAACAGATTAAAACAATGACGGAATGTAAGCATTCCATGTTATTTTGACAACTGAGTGCGCCGGTGTACCTAACACGTGTGAGTTGTACCATAGTACCGAGGTACATCTTCTCCACTCAGCTAAAACTTATGACATTCCTAGTCTAAAATTTCAAAGCAATTGTCGAATGATAGTTGATCGTTGTTACAGTTATAAATACACGAAATGGTCTAAAATCATCAGTTTTTCAAGTTTTTCAAGGAAAAGGCTAAATATTGCAGCGTACACAATTCTCACGTTTTTCGTCGATTGTACTAATTGATGATTGAAAATAAAATGATGATGAAAAATCCAAAATAGCAATCCAAAGGCCGAGTTACCAACCATGTTTTCCCAAGGCACGTTAATTAATACTTGTTTTTCTTACGCAATTTTAATTCACATTTCTTGGCAAAACAAAGAAAATCATCATTCTAGGGTAAGGTTTTTCTAAACAATAATTTACTTCGTTCCAGATTTATAGTTTCTGGTAACAAAATACAAATTTGTAAGAACACTGTTTTGTGGAGAAAAAAATAATTATTGATCTTGATCGAATCCCTATAAACTTTATATTTCTGAGTTGCACCATTTTCACACGCTTATTTCTTCCGTTGCTATGACAAGCGTATGTTGTTTGATATGACGATTGATATTCAACGTGTTTGTTGATTTTACTAAAACCATTCCATTGTTTCAGCGCATTCTATTGTTTTCTTCTTGCATATTTTGTTACATTTTTTACAAGTCGCAATTCACCGGCAGTTAATGCACCTCAGGTGTGCACAAATAAGACATAGTGGAGGCCTGGGATCAAGTTTTTAAATGAAAACGAGAAATGATTTTCTTTCTCAAGCATTTATCATTGCTGTTTGACACAACCAAACCTACTTGATTTTGGGTAAAGATTCTAAAAGTATAGTTTAATGTCTGTTTGTCATGAACTAATGTGTTTGAGTGTCTCACAAATCTAAATTTTTATGACAGTCGATCTGTCTCAATGTTGTATTGTAGCACTTCCTGTTGCGACTTTCAAATATCCGGAAGTTGACTTCAAGGATTGCAAGAAACCGTAGCTTTGTTACAGTACACCGAATTTCAATTTGGTAGCAGTCTATATAAGGATATTGTATGCATGATGAGATGGTATAAAAATTAAATGGTGTTGGAGAGTCGTGGAATGGAATAATCGTGTGGTATTTTCGACTAATCCATTCTTTGTTAATTTAATTGTATGATATTTCATTCCGTTTCCTTCCGTTCTTCATTCTCAAGCGTGTATTTACATTCAGTCCAAAGTTCGCATTCTTTTATAGTGACGTGTCGTACAATCAACCATTTTAAGCGCTGTTGCATTCACTCAAAATAATTTGAAAGTTTAAACGTCTCTCCATTTTCTGAAGTCATTTTTTTTTTCCAGTCCGGAACAGAAAGCTTTTTATATTGCTGTAAAACGTAAAGCTTAAAAAATGCATGTATAGGTTGCTCTGAGATGAACATAAGTATAATATATATTGTAATGGTTTGTTTTTCCAAGAGCAAGCTGAGCAAGTTGGCAGAATTGCTTTAGGCTTGAAAGATATGAGCTGTATTGACTTACACGAACATTTTTAGATATCTGTGTTGAATATTCTTGAGAACATAACATGTGTGATGTATCAACTGTCAATTACAAAAAACTAGCGATACTATGGCATGCAGAAGTATATTTTCGGACAGTTGTAGTTTGTATATAAAATACCACTGACGAGGGTCTGTTTTTCACAGCTAGGTCAGTTGAAACTTAATAGTTTTTTTATTAAACATATTCGCATTAGATCCCCCGGCCCACTCCAAGTCTGAGTGGTGTGGTGCAATACTAATCACGATTCACGACAAACAACCCTCAACAATGGTAAAAGATAAATGGGTTTTAAATAGCATCCGGAGGAAACTAATGTTATTTAATACAAAGGAAATTGCATTTCATACACAAAGAAAGCCTGTCTTTATACTTTTCTATATATTTATTTCTACAAACTCACAGATTGTGTGCTAAATTTTGGCAACGCCTCAATATATGCTGGTCAAATAATGTCAAATACCAACCGTTGCTCGTGCCTTTGAGCAATATGTATGTCTGTATAGTTGAAGAATAAACACAAACCAGGAGAAGATTGTTTTTAACTCAGAGAAAGGAAAAAAGAAATTCAGGAAAGTGAAAATTCATCTCGTCTTCAATTTTTGCCATTGTACGCAACAAATTAAGAAGTTAGACCAATAAGAAGACAGCTTTATGATTACACGTGTGTTGACATTGTCAGAACATAGTCAACATACTGTTTCCTAATGTTTATATATCGAACTTAAGTACGTAAGATAAAAAACCCGTACGCGCACGTATTGTAAAGAAAAACTAATTGTATCATATTCTATTTTTCGATTTAATCTTGATGTAGACTGTGACTTGTGACCCCAGCTGTTTCTGAGCATTTTATATAGCGCGGCTGATATCATTTACAAGATTATCAATTATTAGAAGGAACCTTGGATTTATCAATCTTCTGTATTATGTTGTGGTTATCGCAACGAAAGGCAATTTCTGAGCGTGAAATTACTGCATGTCTGTATTAAATAATTCTAATATGCGTGCAGCATGTGTTTTAAATTAATCGACGTTGCATTTCGTTCTTCACCTTGACATATTATGCATGGCGACTGATGAGCATATCGTGAAGAACAATTTTAGGTGATTTTATTCAAGTACTAATGCGAAGGATAAATACCTGTCTCTCCTTTCTTCCCTCGTCGTTTTTTACCTGAAGTAAATCATACAGTGTTAACCACAAAGTCACGATAGCAAGCTCAGATTTTAGCTCAAATATCACAACACCTCATCCATCTTATGTATAAAAGAAGTTAAGACAGGCAGGAAATAGGTTATACAAGACTTCAGTGCGCAAAACAATATCTTTCTTAAAAACATTAAGATCTTTATGTTAGGATAGTTCTTCGTAGGTATTTATTCTGGATAAATTAGCTAAAGGCATAAATCTAAGAAATATGGAGTACAATAAAACTCTTATATATAGCTATTATCATTATTGTAGGTCATGCATATTAATATTATTATGCTGTATATATCAATCTTACCGCAGCATCTTGAATTTGCATTTCTTGTTATTCTGGAAGTTCCCTGTGCCTTCTCTAGAACATCATTTTGAAAACTAGCTGTATCCATAATTTCTTCCTAGTAATAAAATCGTTTTCTCTTCAAATGCCGGCTGAATATCAAACCATGAATAAATAAAACAAAATAGACCGTGTTTGCCATTCAACTTGACTTAGCTATAAGAATTTTGTCATAAGATAATGTCAAGCTAGGATTACGTTCATGTCTTAATTCTATTCCTAATTTGCATACAATACAAAAAGGCAAATTTCATTATTAAATAAGACAATTTTACATCGATGACACATGATCACAAAAAGCAAGATCTAGACTACACATGCCGAAATGAAATCATCCTGAAATAATACCTGTATCACCTGCAAAGTAGGAAATTCATCTTTAGGTTTGAGTTGCGCTTTGTTAGTGGTACTTGGATATGACTCTCTTTTATCATCATTGTTCTGAATATTCGCCTTAACTATTTGCTTCAGATTTGCAATCTGAATTTGCTGATGTGCAGCGATTATTATTAATAATAACGTAAGAGCTGAATTTAGTACGACAGCCACCATCAGCGATTTATTGCTCTTTTCAGACATAATTTCAGGTTAAATTCATTCAACAGTTTTGTTATATGAGAGTGTGATATCTGCTGTAGCGAAATAAAACACGACCATGTACTGTTGAGATGAACTGATTCTCTCAAAAGGTCACCATGGTGTTTTGTACCTTCGCCACAGGATATCCTACATTCTTAGAAGAAAAATATTAATTCCGGTTTCCGTTCATATTAATTGCCAGGAAAACATTGCATGTACAACAGACAATGGGACAAAAACTGGGCGCAGTAAATTTGGAAATTAGTCAACTTAACACCCTTTGATTTACGTGAGAAACGTTTCAACAATTCATGTTTTATTGCCATCTTTGAAAGATGATTAGTTTTCAAGCTTAATTCTGATTAGCTGCTGGATCATATTGTCATTAGACACTTCTTTCAAGTTCATAAATAAGTAGTTTAAATCTCATCAACACTGATCTGTATATCTGCAAGGCGAAATATCAATGAAATAAAAGCTTCTATATCTTTAGACTTGTGTTACTAGTTAAGACCATATTAATAAAAACTAATTTAAAGACAGGCAATCTATGCCCTATATAAGTACACTATGATTAAAGATTTCTCTTTTAAGCCCAATAATTTTTGATATGGTACGGGAAAACTGTCCAGTAACCCAGTAACAAATTTCATCCGTAGCAATTCTATCCGTTTTCACCAATTTCAATTTAAGGTTTGGCACGCGGATGAACTTGTGATTGATATAAAGACTATACCTGAATAGATTGATCAAAATTTCAGCCGTAGCAAACCCAAAATCTTCCATCGTGTAAGTAAGGCTTTAGTCAGTTGTTATTTAGTTGATGTGAAGTTTTTGAAAGACTCTACGAGGCTGCTTCTGACATTATGTTGGCACGTTTATACATAATAAGCGTTGTAAAATCGCGACCATGCATGCAGAGATTGAGGGCCGGTGCGATCATTTGGGTATCTTGACTATGATAGGATGACCAAGTCACCAAGACAATTGCTTAATTAGGAAAACTAATTTTGGTATCACTAAGCTGTCGTTTTTTACTTTTCCTGCTCCAATCGCCCACTCCTTGGCCTTTGCTTACGGGCGGCTTCTTAGCAGAAAAATTACGGGATATTCATGCATAAGAAATAAATAACTCTTTCCTTCCCTGGGCAGACCCATGTGATAATAATTCATCTAATCTGATTGCATATGAAACTATCTCTTTCATGAAACAGTTTGTAATCAGCTAGATGTAGGAGAGCAATTAAGCAAATCGGTGAAAGTAGATCAATTGATTTCAATTGATTTCAATAATGATATACAACATAAACGTTTCCTCTGTCTTTATTTTTAAAATGTTGAAAGGCAATTATTTCTACTTCTTGAGTATAAAAACTTTGTATCATTTGATTATGTTTCTCTGCTGTTAATGAAGTCAAGACTAGGAATGAATCATGAATGCTCCAAAGTATGATTCAGTCTTGGTGTACATAAATAGACGGATGGATGTCGTACGAACACTAATTTTCTGGCCAGCCTTAATTGCAAACACACCTCCGATATAAACTGTGTCAAATTTCCTGGTAGAATTTATAATTGATTTGATTGCCCGAAGCTCTGGTTTGTTGTCAATGTAAAGAGAAAACGTAAAAAATAAAGCATTACCATCGATCGAATATAATTGACAATAAATATAGTAATATCCTGTTTTGCCAACATGAAGATAACCATTGGAGTACGTCATCTGTCCCTTCACATGGCTTACATTCCATGACTTCAGTATGAACGCTATAAACACATTAAAATAAAGCATGAAGTTGTGGAGAACAGCTGAACTATCTAGAGGAAAAATTTATAATTTTATGTGTCGTGTGCGGGTTCGTAAGAATTCTTGACCTTTACCTCTGTTAATTATGTCAGTCGGTCTTTGCTGTCCACCATGTCCAACTATGTGCGCTGACTCGGAGAGCTGCAAAGCAGAAAAAATATTTGTTTGACAATATTTCTTTGTTATATCTTCTCACTGCTTGCAGCTTGTGCAAGATAAATCTTTCAAGAAAAATTATGTGTCGACGTACCGCGCTAAATCCTTGATCACCTTTGAGACCTAAAAAAACGTCAGTTTAGAATGATCAGTTTTTTCTTCCTCTTTCTGGCTTCGCTTATTTTTTACTAATAGTGGACATGCAATGTTCAATTGCTATTTCGACATTGAACATATTATGGCTAGTACGACCGTAACTTTGTTGCTATGAAAAACCTCCGTTGTACTCAGTTGTACTCAGTTGTACTCAGTTGTATACTAACCAGTGAGCTGGTAACCAACCAAGATGCATGGCGTGGCTGACGTCAATACGTCAGCAAGTTAATTTTTCAATATCGCATTAATTTTGCTGAGGCCGGTTATATAAAAGCTGGATAGCGCTATCCATCGGATAATGATTTTTTCAATTACCTACTATTCGTATAGCTTTGATTATTTAAACCGTAGTATTTTATGCTCTTCAAGCAGTTGACAACGTGGAAAAATCACCATCCCGCGCGGATATCGCGACCAGCCCTGTGAGCTCTCTCTCTATATATAGAGCTCACTAGCTGATCGCTCAGCCTTCCTACAACCAGCCCCAGACCCTTATCGGCTTCATCTTAAACATTCCCTCGTGGGCTGAGGAGTAAATTGAAGAAACAGGATGTGTTTGTCTACTACATTTCAACTGACTAGAGGGAGGTATATTTTTATTAGCTGTACCAGACGGTTAAGATCCCAAATTGCAATTTGACAGTGACACTCCGTCTAGAAGTTTTATAATGAAGCTGGCGTTGATAGAATATTTATTGAAAGAACATCGATTTTTTTTTCAATTTAGTACGTGACTGATTCTTTCGTGACCATGTGTGACCTGTGGCCATCACTTGAATTCTCCCAAGGTAAATATTTTTCTTTGTACCTTATTCATCGTGAAATATATATGAGGGACTATATAGAGTATAAAATTAAAGAAGTAAGAGACCACCTTTGTCCCCTTTATCTCCTTTTGCTCCGAGAATCCCTGCTTCACCTTTCTGTCCTAAAAATGACAATATATATGAAAGTTATAACTGGAGGCAAATAAACCCTTTCAAAGATTATTTTACTTCTTAAAGTTTAAATTCGAATTAAACGCACCTTTTCGTCCTCGTTTGCCTCGAGATCCTGAATTAAAAAAATTATAAACGTTTGAAGAAAATGGCTAGCTGTATATGCATGTATGAAAACACAAACTGAAATTTCTGAAACTTTTACCTTTTGGTCCTTTCTCTCCTTTCTGGCCTCTGGCTGTAAAAAATATAGATAAATATATTAAACCTGCTTTTATGTGTAGGTCTATAAGCAGGTCATGTTGTATAAGGGGCCATTATATACATAAGTATCTGTATAGCTTAGTGTATTTTTACATAATGTCGCTTGACCTATTAAAGTGTTGATATTTAAAGCTTAGTGAAATGTGCAGCCTTGCCGCTAAATTTGCTTGGCAACTTGCCTAGCTGGTTGCATGTATTAAAACGAAATTAAATCTTAACAAAAGGAATATTATCTCTTCGTATCATTCGCAAGTGGATTCATGCAGTGAATCTGATCTTCTGGTGTTGAAGTTTGAAATGACTTGACGTGGAAATATAATAGTTGCTAAATAAACAGAACTTGGTTATATAGACATGTTTAACGTTTAAAATCTCACCACAACAACTTGTTTTAGTGTTTCTTTTGTTTCTTAAAATTTGAGGTCTTTTGTCGTTGCCCTCCCGGTTGCTCTGGTTGTCCTCTTTATACCCATCTATTTTCTAAAATAAGATTTTTTCGCAAGTGGATTAATATTTTGTATCCTCGCTATTATTTCTACCTACAATGCTAGTCTAGTCAGCTTACAGCGACCTGACCTGTGACATATACTGAAATTCATTTCTTTCTTCTGTCTCCAAATCGATGTTTTTCTTTTCCGCTTTTTCTAGTTTGTTCTCTGACTTAATATAAACATGGCTTCTCAGCAATTCTTTTAGTTCGTGAATTTCTCGTTCATGCTGAGCAATGCGATTATTAAATCGTATTTGGAAATGCGTCATGGTCGCCAACAGTAATATTGTAATTATGGCGTGAACAGTCGTGAATATTTCCAGAGGGCGTCTTCTGAAGATCTGAACCGATTTCTTTCCTTCTATTTCACGTTCTGTCATCTTTCATCTAGTTTTGCGATAAACTTTTATTTCAATCACAAGGAAATTCACTGTGTTTTTATTTCTTGGAATCGAGACCCGTCAACATGCACTGCTAGGCTTGAATCAAGTTACACTATTATCTTTCACCAAGGTTATGTTAATAATTCTAAGGCCAACAATTATTGACTATAGTTCCATGCCCGCAAATCGGAATTTTGCGTGAAATGAGCTAAACGTACGTTATTTGCATGTTTAGCGCTATTCTGTGAAACTGCATAATGTATACAGCTTGTCTAGTCTAATTCATTGCTTCCCGTCTTCAATCACGTTTTATTGTTTTTTCTTCAAACTATCAACAAGCTAAATTCAAGGAATGTTAAAAAAGACACTTCCATGGATTCATATAAGATATGTTTTTATCAGGAAAAACCTGCCTGATGATGTCAGTAGATGCAGTGAGCATTAATCAAAATAATATTTTCAGTACCTGTTTTGATTTTTTAAAATTCTTGTAAAATCATATTAGCCACCAATTTGGTTATTTTTTCACCGCATATATATTGCCGTATGCAACCTCCCCTATTTTTAAATAGACGCTATTTTAAATCTTGTTTTCTACCAAACTCTATGGTCATTAATCTCAGCGGTAATTAGGATACCCATAAGTCATTTTTAGAAATACCAATTGTGTTTATTTCTTGCCCTCCATATTTTTAGACCTTATTTATGATATTATGTCATTGTTTACTTCTCCATGCAGCTACATTGTTTTTATTCTTATTACTCTGTTATTATACAAATATCGATTTATTTACATTTCCTGATTAATACGCGTAATTAAAAGATCCACCAAATTAAAATACAGTTAAACTATACAGTTGTAAAGCCTATGGATTCATCAATTAATTTCTAATAGCGTGTATGTACAATAATATTAATACAATATGTCATTGTTAATAGTTCAGTCTTTTAACTGTAGCATTTTTATATATAACTGTTTGCATGTAATGTGTGGTACCATTATCCACCTGGATTTGAAACTAGAAACTACTGAGGTACAGCGTTGCTATGATCAATGAAATATCAACTAGGAATGAATCATAAATGCCCCAAAGTATGATTCAGTCTTGGTGTACATAAACTGAATCTCGAATTTCGTACGAACACTAATTTTCTGGCCAGCCTTAATCTTAAACACACCTCCGATATAATCAGTGTCATATTTCTTGGTAGTACTTATAATTGATTTGACTGCTCGAAGCTCTTGTTTGTTGTCAATGTAAAGAGAAAACATGTAAAATGTAGCATTGCCTTCTGTCGAATATAATTGACAATAAATATAGTAATATCCTGTTTTGCGAACATGAAGATAACCATTGGAGTACGTCATCTGTCCCTTCACATGACTTACATTCCATGACTTCAGTATGAACACTATAAACACATTATAAAACTTAAATTTACGTAAACTCGACTGCAACAAACTCAATGCAGTTCTTTAAAGTTATAGCTATAAGAACAAACATGAATGAACCATATGCAGTATATAAGCCTGTAATTTGCTAAAAGTTCTTGGTCAAAACGTAGAGCTTCGAACGCTTAATTGAATGTTTGGTGTTTTTTAATTTATCATAAAATTTTATAAAGGACGTTTAACGCTTACATCCGTCTTCAAAATCATTTGGTTTTTGGCTGCCCCCAATTCCAACGATATGTGCTGACTGAGCAAACTGAAAAGTTTAAAGCAGCAGATATTGATATATTACGTAATCACTCTTTCCAAAGCACAGATGAATTGATTCTTGATTGAAGTGCTGTTCCACTAAATTTAAATACAGCAGACCGCGAATAATAAAAAAAAACTTGAGGCATGTATATTCAATGACGTTTTGTTGCCTTTCTCGTGCTTGCTTTATTCGTTGCCAAATTATAAAGAGAATGAATTACCTCAGCTCCTTGTTCCCCTTTATCACCTATAAAAACAGCAGTCCAAATAAAAGATTTTGAGTATGTACCTTTTTTTATTTCCACTCTTCTCATGATTAATTTACCATTGGCACCTTCTCCTATTCGGTGTAAGGGATTGGTGCAGAGCTAAACAGCCTTTGAATACGTTTTTAGTCATCAATTCACCATAGCATCATAGTCACCATAGCAAAAACGTTAGACTATATATTTACACATACACCGGCCCATGCAGTATATGTCACATTATGACAGTAAAAATCACATCTCAAACCTTTACTTCCTGGTTCGCCTTTCTGCCCTAAAACGGAATGAAAATCCTTTAATTAGGTCCACTAATTTATCGCTTTTTTCTGCTCTTCTTATTATTATGTTTCTTTTTCCTATTTTCGTAGTTTTGTTGCCATTTAAACGCACCTTTTCGTCCTCGCCTGCCTCGAGAACCTAGAAATGTTTGGGAGAAGAACCGTATAAAAAACATCTTGAACATACACTAGTGTTACTATAGCTGTCAAATTATATCCATTGCAATGTAAATTCTTGCCTTTTTGTCCTCTGCTTCCTTTTTGTCCTCTGCCTGTAATATTACTACAGTTTAGTATTAGCAAGTGTGGTTAGGATATATGACGATAGCAAATGACTAACAGCGTGTAATGTGATAATTTTTTAAAATCCTAATGAATCGTATTTCAGTTGCAGCACGTTCTCAGTTCTCTGATGCATGCATGTAGATTTATTTTATTAAACTAGATGTCTGCTGCCTTTCATTTTCAAACCGCTTGAGGCTGAAGACTGACAACAAACTTGCTATAATAAATTGATTGTTTTAATTTCACCCTGTTTCACTTGTCGTTTTTCTATCATTTTTAAATTGATGGCTTATGTATCATTTAACAACCCTGACATCATTCCTCGCAGAAAAATAATAACGATGTTGTTATATAAAATAGAAAATAGCATTCAAAATTATTTGAAAAAGAAGATAGATTTTTCGGTTTTGTCAATTTTACTCCCATTTGTTTATATTAGGACTAGTTTCATATTTCAGTGCTTTATGTCTGCAGAATGCAACTCAGTGAACTCACCACAACATTTTGATTTAGCGCTTCTTTTATTTCGCAAAATTTGTGGTATTTCATCATTGCCCTCTTCACTGTCATCTTCATTTTCCTAAGGGTTGATGTACATTATATTTTAAAATCATTTTTCGTTGGTGGCTGCCCAATTGTTTATATGCTTGCAGTATCCTGACCTTTGGCATGTATTTAAATCTGCTTCGGTCTTGAAGCTCCAAGTCGTTGTCCCTCATAATCTCGCCTTGATTTCCAGTCTTAGTATATTCATGATTTCTTATCATTTCTCTGAGCTCTTTATTTTCTCGTTCTTGTTGAGCAATGTGGTCTCTCAGTTGTATTTGGACATGCGTCATTGCCATGAACAATAACACCGTAAATAAGACGTGAATAATCATGAAAAATATCACTGATCGTACTTTAAATACTTCAGCAGATTCTCTTGCTCCTAATTCACTTTTTGTCATCTTTTAAACTAGAACAATGACTGCAGATTGTGAATGCAAGAAGAACGATAAATGAACCTGAGATACAATGAATTATACTGTGTGGTTCCTGGAATTATTAAACCTCTCCTAAGCGCTGAACAGCTGAGATATAATTTTTCTTACCATCTTCTATTGGCTGGCCTTTGTCAATATCAAGTTACACGTGCTGCTCCAATAAATCACTTCTTATTATATCGATCAATACGTGGAAATCGTACATATTAACTGGTGTGTGTGCAAAAAAGGTCAAAAACTTGTGTTAGTGGCTCATGCATATATGCAATATAGGTATCATACCCTTGCAAAAGCTACACCTTTACCCACAATAGTATTTTTAGCCATTGGACATTGCTACTGTATAAATTATCAAAAAAATTATAATTATACATCATAAGAGGAATTTTTTCCAATGTCACCACTGCACCTCCAAAATCTTCAAAAACATTCAATCTGTAAAGTGATTTAGGGGAAATACGCCAAGTCGAGTTTTTAGGACGTTTTTATCGAAATTTGCAACATTGACATAGTTTTTATGTGGGGGGGGGGGAATTTTTAAATAGCTAATATTCGTTTGGTATTCTGGTTGCCCCGTGGACCATTTTTATATCGACAAAAAACTCGTCAAAAGCTAGCTATAACGGTATAATAATATAGTTACAAAAGCTCATTAAAATTTCTGTGAAGTTTCTTTTTTACTTTATTTAGAAATTAAAAGTGACAATATTCATTGTGCCTGTCGACCCTATAGAGTTGAAAGTTACCTCTAAAAATATATAAAAATATATAACACTATAAAACATAAACATACTTATCAATATATCTGATAAACTAATAAAGAAATACGGTTAGTTACAGTTGCTAGAGTTGACAACTTTATTGTTTCATGCCATATCATGCTATAAAACTTGAGAATGAGCCTACACATTTAATTTTTTATATAATTTCTAATTTGGCATGATCAATTGACCTGAGGCCGATACAGTTGAATAAACTTTGAGCTTACACGATTTTTTTATAGCTATAAAAAACTAGCCCCCACTATCTTCTACAATCGACCCCTAAAGTTATTTTCTTCACACGTTGATGAATAGACAATTCCCGAACTTGTTCTCTAGCCGAATAAAAACTTCCCAGCAAATAGCAGATTACTGCATTGCCTGCCGCAAGCAAATTGAGAAATTGTTTATTCATTGTATGATTTATGATATTAATTAGGGGCTGTTTATATGAATCCGGCTGGCCCAGTTAAACGATCTGACTTTTGCAAATGATTGTGTTGCAAGACTTCGTGCATGTCGTATTATATAGTTTGATTGTCATATTTTCAGACATGCAGAACCACTTGACGCTTGGGGGAAAACTAGAGTGATGATTTCACCAGAGTTGACCCCGTATTGTGCAAGCAAGGATAGTCAAAATGTTCGGGTTTTTAACATGCAGTATTTATAGTGAGGTCATGCAAAACCATCTGATCGTAATCGTTGAGTAAACATTTGTTGACATCTTGATATCAAGCTGGGTCGACCGTTGTTTTTTCTTTCCTTATTTCCCTATACTTCCCTAAATACAGCAAAATCGACTATGCATGTTATATATAGCATATGCTCATATGCTCATATGCCTATATGGTATACACTATAAAACCTTTTCCTATTATTTGGCCCAAATGAAATAAAAAGGGATGTTTTATAAGTCTGTTTGGTGGTTACGATATTACTTCACTCAAAAGCTGTAGTAATTAAACATAACCAACAAAACGATAGAATGTGCTTTGCATATACATATTAACCCTGAAAGTGCTCTTATTTGCGAACTAGAAAAGCTCCAAAGAAAGCTTCGTACGGAGAAAAACAGTATAACACATTCGTAATCGTAGGAGATAGAGTGATTTTGTCGCCTTTGTTAAGTTTAAAAGTGCCTCCGACATTGAATGTTCCTCCATTTTTTGCAATAACTTTCGATTTCAGAACTCTGGTGCCGTTGATTGACATAATGTGTCCAACTTCATGTTCAGTGCTTCCACAATAAACCATTTGACTGTAGATGTAGTAAAATCCTTCAACATTTATCGTGATACGCCCGTTGCTATAGGCAATGTCTCCGGCCTCTTGTGAAATTTTCCAAAACGAAACGGCTGCAGCTGTAATGTAACAAACATTTGCCTGTTTTTTAAACTGGCGCGTCATATAAGGCTGCTATAGTATGCATTTTTCGCAAATCGTACCTTCCAAGTTGTTCAAATTTTTATCTTGTCTTCCATCGCCGGTCATATGAAGTAATGGAGTTTCCTGATAATAATTTCAGTTAATAATTGAGAAACATAGAAATAATGATATAGCCATAAAAATAAGATAACATACGATACATGCAGTCACCGTACTTGAGTATTTGTCAATGAATTTTTTCCGCAGGATTTATCACAGACGCCTTGATCACCTGTCAATATAAAACGTACGTTTGAAAATTGAATTTTTCCCAGCTTGCATGCATGTTGGTAGCACATGTGTAATACCGATTAATACGCACTATTAATAGTTTTTGCCTCGCATTTGGTTCAAACAAAACGTGAGATTAATGTGAGATGATCTGCAATCTTTTACCCCGTGCATAAAATCCTGCATGCGCTTCTTTTTAAACAAAAAACCTTTCGTACATGACCATTTATATAAACATCACAAAATTTACAATATATAATTTTAATTTAAGTTTAAGTTTGTAAATTACTGTAAATTACAAGAGTTGATAGTCTACCTTTCTCCCCTTTCATTCCATTGCTTCCAGTCTTTCCAGGCAAACCAATTTCACCGTTTCTCCCTGGATCGCCTTTCTGACCTGCGTATAGAAATCCTTGTTGTCATAATATGCGCACGCACCCACTGAAGCGTTTGTTCGCGTCTTTCCACGCGACAATAAAACTTCAAATCGTTTTCAGAATTTTTGAAGAAGAGAAACAATCAGAATTTTTGAAGAGGAGAGGTATAGACGCAAAAACAGCAATACGTGTAATGTCTGTTACTCGTATTGTTGATGCAGACAGGGGACTAATATTGATAGATGGGGTGCAACGGAGAGAAAATAGTAAAATAGAAAATATTGACCAAGGTTGAATTGGGAAACTTGGTACTTAAGTGGTTGAGTAAAAAATACTAGGGCGCTGCATACATACATGCACGTACTTGCCATTTGAACTAAATCTTACACATGCAATTGTTCTACAGTTAAACATGTTTCACAATGGGCATAAACTGTTAAAAGTTTACACTTTACTTCGTTGAAGAGAAGTGTGGTGGCTAATATTTGACATGCACTGATTTGCGACTCTTTTAATTTAGATCTTCTGGCATAAAAATTTGGCGAACTGACTTTTAAAGGTGGGTAGCCTAACTATAGTTTTTTTATATATAATTACACAGACTACTAATAATCACCGCTGACCATATAACCAACACATATTTTGGCAAGTTTCGAAAACAAATATAATGCCGCTGATATTGAACTTATTAACGCAAGGGTAATTATTCCTATTTATGTCTGTGGTTATACGAAATATTACTGTTATATTTACGAAATTAGGCTTGTGACGGTCACTTTCAGATTTTTATGACATGACGAGGTTTTATATATGCGATAAAATTAACTTAATTGTTGCTTTCTTACCTGGTCTTCCTCGCTTGCCTTTTACTCCTAGAAAAAAGTTAAATATCTTATTTAATATATTATACTATTTTTGTTGTCTGAATAGTTCAGGCAGCCGTTGGATGAGATATATTCGTAATGGTGACGAATGCCGCCATGCAGATATTTATCTTTATAATGTTTGCTGATTTAAAACCGAGTCAGTAGGAAAATTGCATGTGAACCAGTCAGAACATAGAAGGTGTATAGCTATAGCTACAATAAATGTTAGTTATGCATGATGCCGGCATACTATCCATTTATTCGCATAAATTTGGTAACATTCATATAAGAAGAGGATTCAAAGGTAAAAGGAACCTGGGTACGAGGTTGAAGAGGATTTAGACTCTATCTTCGCACTTTCATGACCAAATTGTTGGGCTCAAATTTTAGACCCTTCAGTTAGATCGTCGTCTTTTTCTAAAGTATGTCCGGCATATCAGATGTTGTTGCAAGCTAGGGAGTAAATTTCTCTTTTGCTTTAAACTAACATCAACACATTTAATGAAAATTTAATATTCACCCCTCATACTCCTTATTCCCCTCATTAGAAATGCTAATCAAAATTGCATTCCATTATTCTCGTTGTAATGAATTCGGTTGATTTTGTAATTAATTATTAGAAACTTTACCGGGTCCAGGAGAACAGCTTAGTCAAAAAGATTCCTTTTGTTTGAATCTTAAACGTTTATAGACTATCGATCATTGTATTATCTTGTCGTGTTTGTTTCTTGTCTACATCGGAATTGAATATTGACTCTCCGCGCCCAGTAAACAAATGCTTCTGTAGGAAACGATTGATTCTGGCTGCTTATGTATTTTACCGTTTCCCCTGAACGACAGAACTTCGCTTGCGTGCTTAGTAGCAAATGCTGACCAATTTCAAAATTTCTTGTATTTATTTGGACCTCTCACGTATCCAGATTCTTAATTGATAGACGACGTTTATTATTATTGCGAAGATTTTCCTCGCTCCGGGCCGATAACCACCGATATGAATCATATGAATGATATGGTTCATAATATGGTGTAAAATGAGGCCTCAGCTTGTTGGTATTTGCGCCTTCAATCGTAAACAGTCGTATATGCGTGCATTCGTGTTTTTATAAATATTTATTTATAAAAGGGATTAAAATCACTTGTGTGTTGATGAAATTATTTTTGTCTCGTTTAACATGGGGTGATTAAGTAGATATAACTAAGTATGGCTGTATTTCCTAGTATTTGCACCATGGTTGTTCCTTGTTAGCATAATTTGCTTTCATTTCTTTGTGAGAATTATTCAATTTATTCTTAAAAATCTGGGCACTACTAATACTATAGTTATAGTATCTGTGCTAACTATCAGTGATCGCGCGCCAGCTGCATGTATGCCAACTGAGAAATAACACTTGAGTATATTTCATGGCCTTGGCCCCTAATGGCAATAACAAGGGTGCGAATTTGCACACAACAATATGAATGCTCACCACAACATAGTTCAGTCTTTTTCAATTTCTAGAAAGAAATGATATTCGTAGGTGAATAAAACATGTGATTAATTTCTTTGCTACCACGAAATAAGGCGACCATGGCATAGACAATGCCTTGGCAAGTGTGACCTTTGCCTTTGGTTTACAATATATTAAAATGCCAGCTTACGTACCCCTTCAGAACCTGTATTCGTGTTTTGATCATTTTCTGAATGCGTTACTTGCAATTTTTTCCATTTACTTCTCAAGTTTCGATTTTCTTCTTGCAAATGATTTACTTGGAAGAATACATACACAACTGCCATTACTAATACAACTGAAATCACTGCATTCAGAGTAATGACAGCGATCGCGATAATTCGTCCATAGTTAGATTGAGCCATGTTTATAATAACGTTGTGTGCAGTATCATTGCAAACTAGTTGCTTGAATGAAGGATACCAACTCTTTTTACATTTTATATATTCCGGTTGAATGTATTTACTCAAGATGTTATTTATGGTAGCATGTGTTTGTTCGTTCCAGGAACTGACGTGATTATTAACTTGAACCAAAGACTTCTATTGTTTAATTCTTTGAAAGAGAATACACTCGATATCACTTCTTTCTACATCCGGTATATTACAGTGCTTATAGCAATTACAGTTTTACTTTCATATATCAAGTAATGTTCAATTGTACTGTAATCGACGCCGTAAGCAATTTGCCTGTACCTATGCACTCTATATCTGGCTATGAGAGTGTAAAAACATAAAAGCGTCTTGTTTTACCTGTGTTTAAACTGTATTTCACTATAGCATAATTGTAAGTCTACTATTAATAGCGCATTTGAAAAACTCAAATTTTATGGTAATTTGGGGAACTAGACTAAAATCCCCCGCATCAGCCATGGCATGAGGTAGTTATGATGCGGGAAAACCCGCGTTCGTTATATATCCGCATGCAAATGATCTTTCGAAACCTTCCTTCATTTGTGTTACACAATTTTGCTCGCTCTAATAAATTCCGTTCGTCTTGTCGGGAAAAAGGCAGATTTTTATCATGATGATTCACGCTAAATAGAAAAATATCTTTGTCTTTAAATCGAATATAGAAAACTTTATCGCCAATGTATAAATTAACTCAGACTGTCTTTATGATATTCCATGCTGACCATGCACATTCGAGTCATTGTATATACTTGCATCAAAGTTATAAAGCCTATATTTTTATGCCTTTTAAAAACCCTTCTAACGAATTTTTTGTGTGTATAGATTAACGAACCCTTTTGACTGTATTATCCACATTAATCCCGTGATATATGTTTCTGATACAACCTTTGTTATCAGATCCATAATTAAACTATGATATCATGGGTGTAGCCACTTGTTCATGCATTAGTTGGGAACTGCCTTCGTTTAATAAGAGAACTTAGATTTAGACGTAGGAATTATAATTTAGTAAAGTTTCACCGTTTTTATGTCATGCTACGTGATATTTGCAGTCATGTAAGCAGTCAAATGTTGATAGGAAAGCGATTGTGCGGGGGGCAGCAATTTCCCCTTTTTGCAGAAAAACTCCCTTATGACTGACGTTGAAACATCGTGTTTATGGCTATAGGAACATATTGCATGGAAGAGAATTAAAAGTTCTGCTTTATAAGTCATTTGGCTTTATTAAAAGATGTTTGACTACGTTTAAAAATATAATATATATACCGACGTTTAAAAATATACCGACGTTAAATCTGCTCTGAGATCATACAACAGGAAGCATGCAAGCGGCAATAAATATAGCATTTGATCTGGTCATTATAGTTGTTTGCTTTTTGGGGTTTAAACTATAGTTCAGGCAATCAACAAAAGGGCTAAAAGTGCATGTATAATTAACTTAATTCCCCATTCTGGCTTTTTACAAATAATGGTATATATAGTTGAACCTGCGCGGTGTTCAAAAACAAACATACGTGCTTGGTGTTTCCACAAATTGATTTTTTAACTTATTATATTTCACTGTGCAAAATTTCAAGAATATTCTTTAATTTCTCTGTTCCCTTATAGTTTTTGACATTTTGTAATGTTTTTTTTAACATTTTTGTTTATAGTTGTTTTGCTGCTTCGCGAGATAGCCTAGTGATCAAGCACTCAATTAAGTTGAAAGTGCAATATATGTTATGTAATACTGTTACCCGAAGCGAGGCGAAGCGAAATAAAATTAATTTAATTTGCACCCACGTTTAAACAATATTCCTGTTCGCGCCTTGTATATTTTAGTTGACATTCAGGAAATGTATGTGACTAGGAAGTAGAAAAAAACAACTATTTACAGTTAAACCTATACTCTTCCCTTTATTTTATGTAAATTAACGGTTCACACAAGTTCAGGTCTAAAAATAATTGCCATTGTACACCGCCAAAATACAGTACACGCGTGAAGCTGAATTTACTATTTTATGTATTTGTGTGATATACTTTGCAATATATATAGGAATACTATAATATATAAAGCTACTCATATAAGGTACATACTTCGTGGGGCAAGTTTATCTTGTGTGCGACGAAAAAAGTTCTTGTAGCTAATTTAGTTATTGATCGGTTAATTTGTACTTCCAAAGGGTGAGTATAACTATACTAAAAGTAATGTATAATACAATGCTATAAAATAATGTTATTATCTACAATGCATGATATATGTATATATAAATATGAAATATGATCCCACTTTTCTACTTTTAAAATAGTGACATGCAAATATACGAACAAATTGACTTTAGCAATTTTACATAATTATATATATCATCCATATTCATAACTATTGCAAAAGAACGTGTTAATTCCTGTTAGTGAGGAGCTTAAGTTGGTTTTTCATGCAGCATAAATGCTCCAAAGAAAGACAATGTTTCATTAAAATAATAATACTTTGCGAACGGTGATTCAACTGAGATCTTTTGTCCTCTCGATATTTCAAAAATACCACTAGTGTATTGAGTTTGGTATTTTCTCGTTCTGCTTGCAACACTATGGACGGCCTTGAGAATTCTTTTACCATCTAGATAAACCTCATAACCAATGTATGAACTAGTTCCATCATAATAGAACATCTGACAATACACAAAATAGACACCATCGATTCCTATTGTAAGATAACCATTCCTGTAATGCATTCTCCCAGATCGGTGCTGAGCTTTCCATGTCACTTTTGGGCTCATCACTAGAGATATAATTAAAGAACTGACTATTATTGGCAAGGTTTAGTAGGTAGTTATATGATTCACCATATGCGCCTGGTTAGTCAATAAACCTGATACTTATTATTATGATATGTTGTTTTGTTTGGCAAAGTATGATAAATAAATTAGTTATCTAACCTTTGTTACCACTTTCTGATTTTATTCTCTTTCCCGAAGCAACAATATGGGCTGAATGAAGATGCTATATATAAATATATAAATATGTAAATATATGAACGTATAAAAGATGGTAGGTTACTGATAATCAGACCTAAATTACTGACATAAATATGAAAATTGAATCATTTGCTCGAGCTGAGTTATATTATACGTCGTTCTAACATAATCAACCTTTCAACCTTAAAAGCTTGCATGTGCGGAGTAAACGACCACGCAACAAGTCAACGAGGACTATCATTCCAGAGGTTGAAAAAGAACTTATAGATTTTGTTGTAATGTAAGCATCTCAGATTTTACAAACCTGCAAGAGTCTAATATTAGTAATATACTCTTTTTCGACCAACAGCGAATTTTCATTTCCCAAAACGTCAAACAATCAGAGTCACAGATTTCATGCAAGTTAAACAAAAACTTGTTTTTCATCATCGAAATTCATCGACACGTGCTTCTAATTTAGCAGCCTATGTTAAGCACATGCAGTGTCTTTATCATGTGCTAGTTCTGAAGATACGTTAAAACCGGTTTTCACATCTTAATTTCATCCGTCGTGTTAAAACTAGGCGTCAAAGCAAATACAAGTCTAAACGCAGCCTTATCACCTTAAGCATAGTCACTGGGAGAATCGTCGGAAAATTACCTCTTTTAATTTAATTCTTAAAATACAGATAACTGTCTGTTAACGCAAAAATATTAGGTTGCAACGTATCTTTCAGAAACAACATGTTTCAAGGATTTAAACCGCCCATATCTCAAAGAAATACCGGTAAAAAGTACTGAAAAACTAAAAAACTGTGCTTACCTTGACTACTTTACCTGGAAGCCCTTCATCTCCTGTGTAAAGTTTTAGATAAAAACATACAACTATATGAATCAATATGTGAATAATTTTATTCAGGACACGGTTGAGTAAACCTTAAATTATGTTTGTATGCGGCTAATTTTTTCATTTTTTTTACGTCAGTCATACAAAATACCAATTTATGGACAAGTGTCCAACCAAATCGTGGATAATTAGTCCTCAATTAAAATTGACCTCAAGATAGTATCACCCCGGAATAAACGATTTTTTGGGGGGGAAACCGAATATTTACTCACCTTTGATTCCTTTTGATCCAGTCGCTCCTTTTTCGCCGCGAACACCTGGTTGTCCTGGTGAACCCTGAGGCCCAGGAAATCCTTGAAATCCCTGTGGTCCTTGCATACCTTTATCCCCACGTTCTCCTCTTTGTCCCCGAGGTCCAGTCGTACCATCCCTACCGTCTCGTCCTATCCTCCCTTGATCACCTTGATCACCCTTATCACCTGCATGATGATATTCTCCTTGAATCGCATTCTATTTTGTATTCTTGTTTATCTCCTTTTTTAATTTCTATTTTCCTGACTAGTGTGGTTGCCAGGTTTTCTCACCTTTCATTCCTTTTAAACCATTTGATCCAGGTGATCCATTTCTGCCGCTAACACCTGGTTGTCCTGGTGTTCCCTGAGGTCCAGGGAATCCTTGATATCCCTGTGGTCCCTGCATACCTTTGTCTCCACGTTCACCTCTTTGACCTGGGGGACCAGGCAAACCGTCCCGTCCAAAGTACCCCTGATCACCCTTATTACCTGCATAAGGACCAATATATTCACTTTATTTAGCATGGCATTATGCTCGAATGATGATATTATTATTATTTTTGTGTCTTCTCAATCTTTGGCTGAAGTGTTCACAAACAGTCTAAAAATTATTCAAGTCCTTCATGGATGAAATTAAGCTTCTTTCACTTAATTAACTCGACGAAAAGAATACCTTATTCATTAAAAATAAAACCACACAAACCTTTTTCTCCTTTATTTCCTTTGGGTCCTTTCACTGGCTGCTGTTGAGAGCCTGGAAGAGAGTTAAATACTACGTACAATTTGACGCCATTTTTGACTTCCTATTTTTTCCATTTTCTCTTCTAAGGTTATGATTTTTTACTGTTTCAGTAAAAATCTTGAAAAATAAGTCAATGTATCCTAGACTAAAAAATATAGAATCAGACGTGACTCGACAGATGTATCAATGCCGTAATTTAACTATTTTAACTCAGTAATAATGCTTTAAAAACACAGGCTAATGGAGGGTGCCTCAACAAAGCTATAGGTTTTGTAATATTAATTCCTATAGCGATGATTTCAATGGTTTTTCGCTTGCTGAACACAAGAGTGTTTAAACACAATTGATTAGAGCTTTTAATTACTAGGCGCATAAAATCTTTTCATTAACAGAAATGTTAAAATTTGAGCATCTCTGCTCTCCTGGGTTATTCCCTCCTGGCAGGAAAACAGAGAGGCTACCTCCACTCTATGATACAACTTTAGTTGGACTATGATACAACTTTAGTTTGCGTTTGGCCAAAAACAGTGGATAAAAAAGCACACTCTTATCTATACACTTACTGTTGTTTTTCCTTTGGCTGGAGTCCAAATTCCTTCTAGACCGCTGTTCAATGTTTTCCTTCTTTCCAGCAAAAAGCTATATAAAATAACGTCTAATACATAAATGTATCATAAAGTCCGATATATCGAAATTTGACTTGCCTTATAGAGATTAAAGCCAACAGTATGTTTGCATTAAGTCTGACGCTGGCTGTATAATTTTAATAATTTATAATTTTTTATAAGGTAGTTCGTGCACCGATAAACTATCTATTTTAATTCCGAGTTAAATGCAAGAAGTCTGGGCAGGGATTTTCATGTCAATCAACTTTTGAACGAAAATGGCACAGTATTCTATAGCAGTATGTCAACATAGCTAAATTTAACCAGCCAGCTTAAGGATAATGACGATAAGCATTCATGTCATATTACGGAGAAGAAACAAACCTTCAACACATCATTACTTTGCAATACAACGTCTTCTCCATCATCACTTCTGAGCCTCTCAGAAGCTGATCTTATAAGCTGATCGTTTTCTTTCACGTTATTTCTCCTTAACTCCTCAATAATTCTCTCATGACGTGCAATCGTCACCCAGGCTAACAAATGACTGACCGTAATCAGGAATGCATACAGCAATGCGATATTTAGCACACACCGAGGTACCTCAATATTTTTTATCCCTTTGGAGCTCATAGTGAAACTCAATGATTTAACTCTCCATTCGACATGTGCAAAACAAACGAATTTAGCACGTTGAAATTCAGGGTTATCTTGAAATTGCTGTTCTTCCTGGAAAACTATTGTTTGATAATGCAGTTCTGTTTGTTTGCATTTGACAATAGTTTTTACATGCATACAAAAGATATGAATAATTTAATACTCCTGGTGTGCATATACATCGCAATGACAAAACATGTCACTAGAAGGTTTACAACGAAGCAATTTCGCCTACAGTTTCGTAGTAAAATCATTATTTCGTTACCTTGTCGCAAAGATAACTATGATATTATTAATGCACGGATTACTTTCTCTGCTGCTAAAATGTCATGGCGAAGGAGATTTAAGCCACAATAAATACAGGTTAATTGAAAGGAATCCCTGTCGATCTACTGTTTCATATGACAATGCTATCACTGTAATCGTATCTTAAATGTTGCGCATGGCTGTATTTCTACGTATTTAAGGTAGCTAGGTGCTGTTTAAAGAACAGTTCCCAGATAATTCTAACCATTTATATGTTGACATTTGTTCGTACTATCATACACTGAACATTTGTTCGTACTATCATACACTGAACATTTGTTCGTACTATCATGCACTGGTTGCATTGCCTATTCCTGTCTCAAGATATGGTGCTAAAATGGTAGACCTTATCTAAAGTACTAACGTCTAACGACCAGACTCCTGCCTTCGGAACCTTCGTCTTGGTATTTAGGTTGCATGCCTTTACCCGAAAGACTTTCATCCACCTCAAAGTTAGTGGTAAACATGATAAAACATAATAAACTAAAGCAGACCTCAGACAATCGCACTAAACTAACCGATTTAATCGATTCTTTCAAACTGGCCTCAAAGTCTTCGTCTACATCAAGTTGAAAAACATTAACTAATGTTGAAATATAATTTATTGTTTATTTACATTTTTTTTAAAAAACTATTTACAGTTGCATAACGTCGAAATATTCGTGAATGATAATGATGTATTGATATATATAGTATGTTTTTTTTTACTGTACACGTAACGAGTGTAGATAGCTTCCAGGTATAGGAAGTACCAGCTACTTCTATTGGTTATAATACAAACTTTATATTCATAGTCATTAAACATTAGGTGTATCACGTATATACATTAGAATGCAATACAGGTGCATTGTGCGATAATGAGGAATGGTGGTAATTTAGGACATAACGGTGACGGCAACATGACGTTCCTCAGAGTTATGAATGTAAAATGTATGCGCCAAAGAACGATGAAATTTCGTTGATAAAATATTTTCGTGATATGTTTGTCCCCACCCATATTCTCTGACCCTTGGTTATTTTAAAAACACCACCTGTATACTGTGTATAATATGGTTTATAAATGTCAATGACACTTGCAATGGCTTTTAGAATTATCTTGTTATCGATGTACACATTAAATCCAGTAAAACTGCAATTACCGTCGTAATAGAACATCTGACAATAAACATAATATGTTCCGTCAGCATTTACAGTGAGGTGACCATTGTTATCGTAATTCAATTTGCCAGAAATGTGCTGTTGTTTCCAGGATTTTACTCTATAAACATCTATAAAGAAGGGATTTTTTTCATCATTTCAACACTAGAAGAATTCCCAACCAAAAAATCTATGGTCGCGTTCCACAATTCACGTAAAATAGTTTGATCTCTCTTAGGTCTGGAGTCCCTCTCTAGTCCTTATCCCCCAAATTGTACGTTAAAATATGAAAAATAATTCTAGTAAAAATTCCTTCATATTACCTCCGAAAGGCGGCGGCGAAATGAGAAGCTTGTTCACACCACCGACAATGTGAGCAGATTCTTTGTTCTTAAAAAAATAATAAAGTTGAGGGTTTAATAGAACGTATTAGCTTATTTTGTGCTTTAATTGCAAGCAATTCATGCAAGAGAACGTTAAACGAATTTTATAGAAAAAATGAAATCTATAGTTATTGTATGAGTTATTCTCGCCTGCAACACAGCCCTGCATAAATAGGCTTTCGAGCAATGTTATTATTGTAGTTTTAGTTACACACACACCACTTGGGCACTTGTGTACACATATGCCCTGCCCTGCATGTCCCAAAAAGTTAATATTATGATAAACCCAATTGAAAGCAAGATGCTTTATTTGAATGCCTCAACCTAATAACTATGCTATTTACACACTACTGCGTTGATTATGCATTCAAATTTCGACAAAAGCTTCATTTAGTAAGGGGGACTTTTTTGGGACACTCTATACAAGACTTACAAGTCGAATCAAAGTGTTTACTGGTTTCATATGACAAATGACTGTGACAAAGTAATTGTATTGGGAATTTGAGATCACTTTTATTGTTGTATGAATGATGATTGGCTGACCCGGTCGTTATTGGTTGGTTAATTGTTTTATGGATCGTGTGGTGCCTAATTGTGTTGAGAGAAAATACAGCTTTATGAAATAAAAAATTGCAAATGAATTATTGGAGCACCAGCTGTTGACAGTTCGTGAAAAAAAGCAATACAGCAAAAAACCTTCAGCATATTTATTAGTATGGATTGGAGAATTAAATTAATAAAGTTCCAGTATAGGCATGTTATTACCTCGTTTAACTTTCGAACTAAAACTACAATAATTGTGCATTTCTTAAAGTGTGCGTGTGTGTATTTGTTGAATTGGATGAGGTGTTTGAGAACAATAGTTAAGGGTCGTGACCTTTCACTTTCGTTACGACAAAAAAATTCAATTAAGGTACCTTGAAACTGTATTTTCCGTCGTCATCCTGCAACATGTCTTGAAGTTTCTTGATTTCTTGACGCTGGTTAAACACCTGAGGCAACATAAACCCCACAAGTGCCATCAGTAAGAATGTGAAAAATACATTCAGTATGATGATGCTGGTAGTCAAATTAAAGCGACTTGATTTCATTGTATCTCCTATTTAATAGTGCACCATACAATATTGCAAATAACGCCGCTGCATGTATGCAAAAAGAAGTAGGATCCGAGCTCTGGTAACTTTTCCGCAAAACCGCATGCGCCAATCTCAAGCCAGCACCAGTCTGTTGAAATCTGAGTGTTACCTAAGTGTTATGGTATTTTGTTTACCGTCTCAATATAATTTGATACTTATAATGTAACCAAAGCTTAATCCTAGATTGAATTTATTATAATATATAATGAAGTGTTTTCATCAGCGTGCATTTCCTAGGTCATGCATGTTATATAACTATTACATGAGTATATTGTATATAACTCCTAATTTGATAATTAAATTATCTCTCAATGAAAGATAGACATGGTGGATAAGGCAAAATGTCTATTGCAATATATATGCTAACTTTACCCATATAGCCTTGATCTGATATAGAATATTAGAGAGTCGTGTTTTTCGGAGTTAACTAGGTTATAACTATGCAAGATATAGTTAAAGTGTTTTGTACAACCGCCCCCAGGTTTTGATTCATTTAATTAGGTTTGATTGAAAAACAAAACAATTTACAGTCCTGCACGCTGTTTTTAATCACAGAGAAATCGAATCCAACAAAATGAACACACATTGGCATGTGAATAACATTTAATATGAATTAAAAAGTTGGTAGAAAACCTTGAATAGAAAACCTTGAATGTATACTATACATAGTGTAATATTAATAAAACGGAAAAAGAATGCCTGTGGGTTGAGCACAACGAACTATGCATGATCTTGATACCTGAGGAGAAATTAAATATATGTATAATACTACCTACAGATGTTAGCTATTTATTTAAGAAACTTTATGAAATACCTGAATCGTACCTATAGTCGATCTGTCTATAGCAAGATAGTTTGCATTGGTTTGTTATTGGTTTGTTAGTAATGTAACAGGATCATAGCTAAAGCAATTTAATATTATCAATTTAGGAAACAGTATCTACAATTAATATTTACATTTTATATCATTACCCAATACAAATGAATGCTTCCCAAAGTTATTTACAATCTTGTGTGTTATATTTTTTCTACAAATTGCTGAAATTTCTTTTAAAAACAGAAATTCTATTTATTTTATTAATGCCGGCCAGAATATGCATGATCCCATAATGATTTACCATAATGATTTACCATAATAAAGAAGACGATTGAGATGCCGTTATAAAAAGATGTTTTTTAATTTTTTTTATAAAATTTTTGCGTCTAAAAACAGTCTCATTTTCACCTTGTATCCCTCTTGTTTCGTTCACGATACTATCCATTGATAATCCTGGAGTTCTAATGATTAAACCATATGATTGAACATATTTGTTTCCGCTTTTAAACGTTCTCGTTAGGTTGAATTTAAATAAGGTGTATAGTTTAGTTTTTAGTATTTGATAAAAAAGAGGTGGTCTTGATAATTCAAATCATTACTGTAGAATCACATGTGGACTAGTGGCGTAATATTATGGTAAATGATTGATGGGAGATGATTTATTTACAAAAGGCTAGGACTTTACAAAAGACTTCATACGCTTGTTCTCTCAATCTTACAGCGATAATCGTATGCGTTAAGGATGCAACATAAATGCACCAAAAAATGCCGAACTTTCGTTGAAAAAATATTTTCTTTTAATTGTTGTTCCTACCCAAATACGCTGGCCCTTGTTGATCTTAAAAACTCCACTTATAAATTGAGTATGGTATGGTCTATGAAAATCGACGATGCTGTATATCGCTTTCAAGATTCTTCTGTTGTCAACATAAACATTGAAACCTGTGTAAGTGTTGTTACGATCAAAATAAAACATTTGACTGTAAACAAAGTAAACACCCTCGATGTTTATGGTTAAATGGCCATTTTGGTCATATTCCATTTCACCAGATCGATGTTGTTCCTTCCAGGATGTGATTTTATAAACATCTAAAAGTAACAATCATCGTAATTGATACTCTTACCCACAATCATTCTGCACGGTATCAAACGTAACTATGCATGCCGTGCGAATGGAAAGGGTTTGTGTTTGCCAGGGTTATAAAATAGTTTAATCTGAGTCTGAGAGTTGTAAAAAAGAAGAAATGCATACATCCAGTGTGCTTTTCGGTCATAGAAATCGAGGCTTCAGAGGAAAACCTTAATTGAATTAGCTACTGTACATCTTTGGATGGAAGCTAATTCAATTTTTAATAGGGTCCAAACATGCAGCGTTCAATTATTATTGCGTAATAAAAAATAGTTTACCATAAATGTGAACTATGGTTGACTATATTAAAACACACACTTCATGAGTTGATACGTGAACCTACCTCCAGGAGCTGGGGCAGAGGGAACCATATCACCGCTACCAACAATATGGGCTGATTCTGAGTACTAAAATATAAAATATATCGCACACGTTGTAAAGACATTAAGTTTACGTTAATGATCAATTTGACGACACGCTTTGGTCATGTTAGACCCTTTCAAATTAAATTACTGCATCAAGAATTATTTAATTCAGCGCTAACCATCAATGCTTCTCCTGGTTTTCCTTCATCTCCTGGAACAAGAAGATTAATAAATATATAAGGCCTAAATATTCACAGTAACGTTAATTTAGTATTTAATATTTATTTTGTTACGCTTAATGTTTCATTACGGCCTTCTTTCTACACTGGTATATTTCATAGATAAAATTAGTTTGTTTCAGTTTCCACAAAGCAAGCTGTTAATCAAAATTATTCGAACCTTTTATTCCAGGAATACCTTCTTCTCCTAAAATTACGAGATACAGACATCGTTAGTATCATCACTGGGTCGATGTGGCGTCTACAACTGTATGAATAGTTTATGACCGTGAGTAACCAGTCAGTTTGTATAACTTGCTAGTGTTCATGCAAACTTAAAATATTTACTAAAATTCTTTTTCATGACTTAATTAATGGACCTTTTGTATGCAGCACCATTGTTTCCAACTAAACTAGCTACAGGATTCTTACAAGTTAAATACTTTATATAACTTATTTTAGATACAAGAGCGGTATTATATACCTTTATCCCCCTTTTCTCCTTTATCTCCTATATTACCAACAATTCCTCTATCACCTTTATCACCTGTATTACCCGTAGGCCCTTGAAAACCTCTTTCACCACGATCCCCCCGCGGTCCACGAGGTCCAGTCTTACCTGAAGATGAAGGTAAAGATGAAGTGTCACAACCCCACCCACGCATTGTTGTAAGCTCATTGAATTTGTGAATAAAATTCTTATAGATTTAACTTGTAATTGCTAAAATTTGAGCTCCATGTGATATTCAGTCCTTACCCGGTTTTCCTCTTCCTTTTTTTCCCTTTGCACCTGAAAAATCAATAGACAACAGCGTTTCAAAATTTTAAAAGAATATTTTGAATCTCAGATAAGAAACTTCTCATATAGAAATTTCACCCTTCAGTTTCTTCGAAACTTAATGTGAGAAAATGCAAGTGGAATATCGTGGGGTTAAATTTCCTCAATTTATACCTTTTTCGCCTTTTGCACCTTTTTGGCCGACACATTTTTCGTTGCACTCTTAACAAGAGATATGAATAACACTGTTTAAAAACTTTACTAGCTAGCCCCCCCCCCCCTCAGGACGGCCCTGTCACTGATGACGCAGTATTACCACTGACAATGACGATCATGCATATAAGTTAAACAATTATTTCGCCATTCAAGGATTGCAATCGTGATTGCAGTTTCATGTCGTTTCATGAAATGAGAAGATTCGTACGGCATGTCACTCGTACAATTTGCAAAGTTCTACTATGTCAACTGACAAATTTAAGACGATGGAATTAACTCAGAATTATCTCAGCTGGAGCTATATAGGTTAAGCTCTTGAGGTATGATTGATGGGGATAATTTAGAACTCTATAGCAAAGAGTGTGATTCGTGCGAGTGTGAACGACGACGAACCTTGAGTCTAAATTATTTCTATCATGCACTATCATTAACTTCAGGGATAATTGGCAACAAGCCATATGTAGTGACGGCTGCATGTTGAGCTTAACCAGCAGAGATAATCCTCATTTTAATTCTATCAGTATCAATCCTGAGTTAATTCTATTTGTATCAGCGTTTGAAAGTTTCGAATCGGACGACAGAATACCCCAGCACCGCCAACGAATGATTACGAATCGAATTTTATCCAACATCTGCGCACGTTTTATGTCTATAATTATTGTGAATCAGTCTGGTATAAAACGCATTTTCGTGACTTTAGAAAATACCAGTGACCTGTGCCGTGACTGTCATGGCGATAATCGCGTGTTGATATGTAGTTGATATTCATGCATGTTGAAAATAACAATAGCAATATTCTTTCTTAGCAGAGGCTAATAATCATTGCTCACCAGTTTTCCTTTTTCTTTTCTTTCCTTTGGCTCGTCTTAACCGAGGACGACTCTCGTCTATTTCCTGCGGTTTTTAACATATCAATATCAGTATGCAAATTTGGTTTCATCTTGTATGCGTTTCGACTTACAAGTTATTATGTAGCTTCTCCGTGCAGAATACATCGGTCTATTTGGTCATTGCCACTATTACAGCAGTATCAGTGATTCACAGATTATAATTCATGTTACTATATCTGGTACGCGAGGCTAAGGCATACCAGCACTGTAAAATTATTTTGTACTTTGGGAACTTCTGTTAGTATCTCATTACCCAAGGCCAAGGCTAGACATTGTCAGTGAATAGACGTAAGCTTAGATTCGTGGAGTATTCAGAATTTAGCGTTCATACCTCGTCATCGTCTTCCTGTATAAGGATGTCGTTTTTACCACTCGTAACGACCGCAGTATTGACAGCTTGAGATGGATACACTTTGTTTTCAACCTCTTGTGTATTCAACATTAGTCTCAACTCTGCAATACTCTGTTCATGGCGGTATATTGTTACCCACGCTAGCACTAGACCACTCGTGACTAAAACACCATACAAGAGGCCAATGTTTATGACATATACTGGCAGCTCGACGTATTTTGTACCTTTAGAGGCCATATCGCACTACATTCCTGTAAAGCTGATGTAGAGTAACATGAACACACTATGCTCCTAGCTTCGATGTTTTCGTCAGCTGAGGAAGCTCAGACTTCGTGCACTGAAGCGGCTCAGAGTTGACCCCTTCCAGGAAAACAGTCAATTTGTTTATGTATAGCTAGGTGTTATTTTTGTTGGCTATGTTTTGTCGTTACTATATTCAGTGAGCTGAAAAATGATAATCTCAGTACGAAATAAATCTAGCAACGAATCAAGTATAAATGAAGGGACTATTTTGTAGTTTCAGTACATTTTATGGGTAAACTTGTGACGTTTCAATTATGCATCGAATTTTGGCTAGCAGCTTCGAATATGTTATATGTATACGATTAATAATGCATTGCCATTGTCATTGTGCTGTTTGTAGCTTTGTAACCCGCTACAGGAACATCATTATATGGTAAAATTGTTCGACTTAAAATAGACAGTCTGAACTTCCTGTTGCCTGGTTGGACGAGTTAATTATTTTAATTGTTCTGCGTGCCTATAACGTCTTGATCGTATCTTTTTATCAATGATCATTGACATTGACATTGATAACATCATTGAATGTTAATTTACAACCTGAGGTATGTGATGCTGGTGACGATTTTAGGATGATAAAGATGCGATTATTAGGATCAAACCGAGAACGTTGTGAAAAAAGCAAGTAAGCAACTCGAGCCTCTGGCAGAAATCAAACCCGCGTCTTTGCGATAACACGCAGATCAGGGTTATATTACGACTAAGCAACGAAGAATTTTATGATGTCGTGTTTTATGGCGGATTTAACAGTGTAAAACTGTTTTTTATTAGTTATAAGGCAGCTTTTCGCTGTCGCGTTTTTCAATTTTTTTACACCAATTTTTTTAACGTCAATTTTTTTACATCAATTTTTTTAACATTAATTTTTTTTAACACCAATTTTTTTAACATCATTTTTTTTAACACCAATTTTGTTAACATCCATTTTTTTTAACACTGCTTTTAGTGGTTGCTCGAAAATTCAAAAATTCATCCAAATCGGTCAAAATCGTGAAGGGCCAAAGTACCCATACAATTTTGGCCAAAATTGATGATTTTCAAAAGTTTTCAAAAATGTCCTAATTGGCTTCAAATATTTACTAAGACAAGTTTATTTCGTTCTTGAGCATATCTGGTTGGCTTTTCGAAAATTGAAAATTTCATAAAAAGCGGGCAAAATCGTAAAGGCCAAAGTGCCCTTACCATTTTGGCCAAAATTGATGATTTTCGAGAATTCTCAAAAATGTCTTAATATGCTGAAAATGGTTTCAAATATTTACTAAGACAAATTTATTTTGTTCTTGAGCATATTTGGTTGGTTTTTCGAAAATTGAAAAATTCATCAAAATCGGCCAAAATCGTGAAGGGCCAAAGGTACCCTGGGTTAAAATTGATGATTTTCGAAAAATTTTAAACATGTCTTAATATGCTGAAAATGGCGCATATTTGGTTGGTTTTTGGAACATTGAAAAAGTCGTCAAAATTGGCCAGAATGGTAAGGCGTACCCCTTACCATTTTGGTCAATTTTGACAAGTTTTTAAACTGTTCAAAAACTGTCTTAAAATGCTAAAAATGCCTTCTTAAACTAATATCTTTCATTTTACAGCATATTTGGTTGGTTTTTGGAACATTGAAAAAGTCGTCAAAATTGACAAAAATGGTAAGGCTTACCCCTTGCCATTTTGAAATTGACCAAAATGGTAAGGCTTACCCTAACCATTTTGGTCAATTTTGACCACTTTTTCAATTGTTCAAAAACTGTCTTAAATTCAAAAAATTGTTTCCTAAGACTAATATCTTTCATTTTAGAGCATATTTCGTTGGTTTTTGGAACATTCAAAAAGTCGTTAAAATTGACCAAAATGGTAAGGCTTACCCTAACCATTTTGGTCAATTTTGACCACTTTTTGAATTGTTCAAAAACTGTCTTAAAATGCTAAAAATGGCTTCGTAAGACTAATATCTTTCATTTTAGAGCATATTTCGTTGGTTTTTGGAACATTGAAAAAGTCGTCAAAATTGACCAAAATGATAATGCGTACCCCTTACCATTTTGGTCAATTTTGACGACTTTTTAAACTGTTCAAAAACTGTCTTAAAATGCTAAAAATAACTTCGTAAGACTAATATTTTTCATTTTAGAGCATATTTGGTTGGTTTTTGGAACAATGAAAAAGTCGTCAAAATTGACCAAAATGGTAATGCGTACCCCTTACCATTTTGGTCAATTTTGACGACTTTTTCAATTGTTCAAAAACTGTTTTAGGATACTAAAAATTGTTTCCTAAGACTAACATCTTTCATTTTAGAGCATATTTCGTTGGTTTTTGGAACATTGAAAAATCGTCAAAATTGACCAAAATGGTGAGGCTTACCCCTTACATTTTGGTCTAAAATGAAAGATATTAGTCTTAAGAAACAATATTTGGCATTTTAATACAGTTTTTGAACAGTTGAAAAAGTCGTCAAAATTGACCAAAATGGTAAGGGGTAAGGGGTAAGCCTCACCATTTTGGTCAATTTTTACAACTTTTTCAATGTTCCAAAAACCAACCAAATATGCTCTAAAATGAAACATATTAGTCTTACGAAGTTATTTTTAGCATTTTAAGACAGTTTTTGAAATGGTAAGGGGGGTACGCATTGACCAAAAATGGTAATGCGTACCCCTACCATTTTGGTCAATTTTGACGACTTTTTCAACTGTTCAAAAACTGTCTTAAAATACTAAAAATAACTTCGTAAAACTAATATCTTTCATTTTAGAGCATATTTGGTTGGTTTTTGGAACATTGAAAAAGTCGTAAAAATTGACCAAAATGGCGAGGCTTACCCCTTACATTTTGGTCAATTTTGACGACTTTTTCAACCGTTCAAAAACTGTCTTAAAATGCTAAAAATGGCTTCCTAAGACTAATATCTTTCATTTTAGAGCAAATTTATTTGCTTTTTGGAACAGTGAAAAATCGTCAAAATTGACCAAAATGGTAAGGCTTACCCCTTACCATTTTGGTCAATTTTGACGACTTTTTCAATTGTTCAAAAACTGTATTAAAATGCCAAATATTGTTTCTTAAGACTAATATCTTTCATTTTAGAACATATTTGATTGGTTTTTTGAACATTGAAAAATCGTCAAAATTGACCAAAATGGTAAGGCTTACCCCTTACCCCTTACCATTTTGGTCAATTTTGACGACTTTTTCAACTGTTCAAAAACTGTATTAAAATGCCAAATATTGTTTCTTAAGACTAATATCTTTCATTTTAGAACATATTTGATTGGTTTTTTGAACATTGAAAAATCGTCAAAATTGACCAAAATGGTATGGCTTACCTCTAACCATCTTGGTCAATTTTGACGACTTTTTGAACTGCTCAAAAACTCTCTTAAAATGCTAAAAATTGCTTCGTAAGACAAATATCTTTCATTTTAGAGCATATTTAGTTGGTTTTTGGAACATTGAAAAATCATCAAAATTGACCAAAATGGTAAGGCTTACCCTAACCATTTTGGTCAATTTTGACGACTTTTTCAACTGTTCAAAAACTGTATTAAAATGCTAAAAATTGTTTCTTAAGACTAATATCTTTTATTTGATTGGTTTTTTGAACATTGAAAAATCGTCAAAATTGACCAAAATGGTATGGCTTACCTCTAACCATTTTCGTCAATTTTGACGACTTTTTCAACTGTTCAAAAACTCTCTTAAAATGCTAAAAATTGCTTCGTAAGACTAATATCTTTCATTTTAGAGCATATTTAGTTGGTTTTTGGAACATTGAAAAATCATCAAAATTGACCAAAATGGTAAAACTTACCCTAACCATTTTGGTCAATTTTGACGATTTTTTCAACTGTTCAAAAACTGTCTTAAAATACTAAAAATAACTTCGTAAAACTAATATCTTTCATTTTAGAGCATATTTCGTTGGTTTTTGGAACATTGAAAAAGTCGTCAAAATTGACCAAAATGTTAATGCGTAACCCTTACCATTTCAAAAACTGTCTTAAAATGCTAAAAATAACTTCGTAAGACTAATATGTTTCATTTTAGAGCATATTTGGTTGGTTTTTGGAACATTGAAAAAGTCGTAAAAATTTACCAAAATGGCGAGGCTTACCCCTTACCATTTTGGTCAATTTTAACGACTTTTTCAACTGTTCAAAAACTGTCTTAAAAAATGCTAAAAACGGCTTCCTAAAACTAATATCTTTCATTTTAGAGCATATTTAGTTGGTTTTTGGAACATTGAAAAAGTCGTCAAAATTGACCAAAATGGTAAGGCTTACCCTAACCATTTTGGTCAATTTTGACCACTTTTTCAATTGTTCAAAAACTGTCTTAAAATGCTAAAAATGGCTTCGTAAGACTAATATCTTTCATTTTAGAGCATATTTCGCTGGTTTTTGGAACATCGAAAAAGTCGTCAAAATTGACCAAAATGGTAATGCGTACCCCTTACCATTTTGGTCAATTTTGACGACTTTTTCAATTGTTCAAAAACTGTCTTAAAATGCTAAAAATAACTTCGTAAGACTAGGTATGTTTCATTTTAGAGCATATTTGGTTGGATTTTGGAACATTGAAAAAGTCGTCAAAATTGACCAAAATGGTGAGGCTTACCCCTTACATTTTGGTCAATTTTGACGACTTTTTCAACGGTTCAAAAATTGTCTTAAAATGCTAAAAATAACTTCGTAAGACTAGGTATGTTTCATTTTAGAGCATATTTAGTTGCTTTTTGGAACATTGAAAAATCGTCAAAATTGACCAAAATGGTAAGGCTTACCCCTTACCATTTTGGTCAATTTTGACGACTTTTTCAATTGTTCAAAATCTTTCTTAAAATGCTAAAAATGGCTTCCTAAGACTAATTTCTTTCATTTTAGAGCAAATTTTGTTGGTTTTTTGGAAAGATCAAAAACTGGTCAAAATTGGCTAAAATGGTAAGGCTTACCTCTAACCATTTTGGTCAATTTTGACGACTTTTTCAACTGTTCAAAAACCGTCTTAAAATGCTAAAAATGGCTTCCTGAGACGAATACCTTTCATTTTAGAGCATATT